TAATTCTTAACTAATCATTGATCACCATCAAAAGATTAACTCTTATATTCTGATGAGCCGATGAGCCTGATGAGTTATAATAGCTATAATCCTCTTGTAACCTATGGCGATATCCGTATCGGTAGTCTTCATATTGATATTTATATTATTTACAGAACGTAGTATTAATATATCCAAGACTTTGGAAGGGAGATTACCAGTATATTTCCTAGATCATCATTCATAAATTTGGGTGTAGATCCGTAAATATTTATACACTTTTGTGACTAAGCAGGTAGTTTCGGTCAGTGCATTGCACACTTTTCAGTCAGAAATCGTGAAACACGTTTAACGATAAACTCAATACCATCAATGCTAGACATCGTCGGTAGTACCTTTAGGTAATAACTATTTTATTTCCTCGAAAACTTTGTTTCAGTCACGGTAAATTAGGTATTTTCTTTTAAAAATATAGAAAATTAATTGGACGATAGTACATAGTCAAAGATAGTCGAGGATTCTGCGAGATAATATTACTACATTGGTCACGTAATTGAAGCGGTACTATTGAAAATACAAACAAAAATTCATAAGTGTGATCGGCAACGGTGATTTTTTGTTTGTAAGTGCTGTGACGAGCCAGTTTAGTTTTTCTCCAATCCACATTTATGTCATAATTAATAACATTTTGATATTTTGGTTTTTAATTTTTTTTAGATAAAAAATCAAGATTTGGTATGTTGTATGACAAATTAGGATTGATTGACGTATTTAGTTGTTTCTGGTTCTGTTTCTGGTCACTTCCTGTTTCACCGGAAATTATTACAAATTTTGATTTTTAAATGGAACCCACGGTATATTTTTACTTTATTCGATAGAAAATAACTCTCTGAATAGAATGACATACACCATATGCCAACTTTTGACATTTTCGCTTAAAAAAAATCGTATTTTAAATTTCAATGTAGAGTGTCATGGCTGTGTTAAAAACACTAATTTTTAATCAAGGAGTCTTAGAAAAATAGATTTAATCGTTTAATGTTTTTCGTGTCTTCTCCTGGCCGGTTTCTGAGAGGTCTTCACTAAAGGAAACAGAGTTGCCAAGTCTGGGGAAATATATCTAGATATAAAGATAATGAAAGCTATTTTGGAAAAAGGAATTCATTCTGCAAAAAAAAATGATGACAAAAATTATTTATAGAATTTAATACAAAAAAAATAAGTCTTATTCTCCGTTTTCTAATTTTAGAACTTTTTGCAACTGTAAAAAACACAAATAGAAACTTTCACACATAAATAATTAAACTGTCTAACATCAAATATGCATATAAATGGTAAATATATGAAGAAAAAAAAAATAGAATTCATATAATATAAAAGTAAGGTTTGAATCCAGAATAATTTGAATAATAATCTTTCCAGAAAGAATGCGTATTAATATGATAACACACCTTAATAAGATAGAAAAAAACCATTTAGTTATATCTGTAATTACGGAAAAACTATAAAATATTGGAAGAACAATTTTTTAAGAACATAATTAATCGACGTAATAACTTAGTTATTAATTATTAAGTAAATATATATACATAAGAGAGTAAAGACTATATTACTATAGTTTACTTATTATGGTACAAAAGCGAAATGAGAAATTCACTATACCTAATAATCTTACTGATCAAAACTGAATATTACATTCCTTTTCTCATAATATGGTAGTCTAAATCATGTTTAACAATGCAAAATAAATCATCAATTTGAGTTTCAGAAGTTGTTTATCATTTTACTACTACTGCCATTACTCACTGACGAGTATTTGACATGCATCAGAAGATTGTTATGCAAGGGGTTTTCTTTCCTGAGCTTTTCTGTGACTGAAAAGCCCGATACGTGATCTTATCTCTCTTCTGCACTCCGGATATTCAAAAATCTCATTACGTTGTTGTCTCTTTATTTTTTGGTTATAGTTAACTGAGTTTACAATTATTTTCCACTGCGTTCTATTGTGCGCTGCTTCTTCCCACTGATTCTGCATGCCTATCCCCTTTAAGTTTTTGTGGAAAATATCCTTGTACCTTTTGGGTTGTCCACCCGGTTTCCTCTTACCGTCGACAAGCTCACCGTAAAGAAGAGATTTCGTTAGACGGTTTTCTTGCATCCTGCATACGTGACCAGCCCATCTTAAGCGGGATTTAGTAATCATGATTTCAACGCTCCTACAGCTAGCTTTGTCAAGGACCGATACGTTTGAGCCAAGGTGGAACCATTTTATTCTTAACAGTTGTCTAAGGTGTCTCTGGTGCAACTTGTTTAATGCGTTCATATGCCGGCGGTAGGGCACCCAGACTTTTCATAGGACACCAGGTGTTATCATTTTACACAACCAATGTCGGTAAACATCAAATATTTGTTTAAAATTAACATCACAGTTTAAATCACTAAACCTTATAATTTATTGAAACAAAATATTAAGAAGTCTTTCTTTCAAAAAGTATAAACTTTGTTCAGCGAGAAAAGGGATGGTTTCGACAGACAACATCCAAAAAATGACAAAAAAATTGAAAATCTAATGACAAATATGTAATTACGTCTGAATTAAAATTACAGACAACTGGAACTGTAAATAATGTATAATATACCTTTGTGGCGGGATCACTTCTTGAACAGAATTCTGGGTCTTTAGCAATTGGACATAAATCTACAAAATAAAAAAGTTAATTTTTCTAAACACCACAGTGTTGAATCCAAACGGAAATAATTAGCTAGTCAGTGGATTTTTACTAGTAAAACGGATTAAGCTTGATTTTCATGCATCCGTTGTCCGACGATACGTTGATACGATATTAATTTTATTGGTAGAATTTAAAGAGTTTGATTGGTTAGAAAATAACGCAGTTTTTAAATTTATTGCATTTTCGTGCCTCCGTTTGTCGGATATACGTTAGTGTTAATTTATATTTTCGTTTCCATAACGATTTTGCTATTTTACTTATATTTTTATTATTGTTAGATTAAATTTGTCAAAAAAGTGTCAAAACGTCCGATATCGTATGAACAGGTCCGTTGTAGTGATGGGCAAAACTGTTATTTTTAGATAACAGTTGAAACTGTTATAGTTATTTATAAAAAACAGCTTAAAATAACAGCTTAAAAATAACAGGTTTCTTTATTTTATTGCTAAATATCTGAAAGAGTATGAGGCGGTCACCGCCAGGCGTATTAACGCAGTTGCAAGTTGCAAGAATGACATGCTCGGTGGTAGTATTTCCAGGGTGTCAAAACATTTCTAAATGTCGATTGTTATCTCAAATACCTCTCTAAAAACGGTCGTTGTTTACAAATTGCGATATAAAAAAGCCAAAATTCCGCCACTCGTCTATACGTATACATTCCCATCTACCTACGTCTTGCCCCTCGATCGGCGTAGATCCTGAATTGCGTAGCAGTGTACAGGGTGCATCTCACTCGACGGGCGAGAAGCTCTTAGTTATAATTTTACCATTTGCGGTCAAAAAATAGCAATATAAGAAAATGTGTAGTATATTCTTCATAAGTAAACCAACTACACACTAGAGTTCGAATTAATTTTACACTTAAACTAGCATGTACCCGCGACTTCGTTCGCGTCGAATTAATAATTTGTAATGGTGATGATAAAGCAAAGCAAGAATTTCTATTAACATAAAAACTGGATAACACCCCGTATTATTTTTTAAAAAAATTCAAAATATGTAAAAAAACAAAATAAATTATGCGTGTCCAAGCGTTTTCCCGAAAGACTAACCGTTTTTTAAATAACAAATATTGTAATATTTGAGGGGCGTTTTCACCCTCTTGGAATTTAAGATTCGAGAAACCCCTCCTTATCGAACCTCAACCCCACAGTCAATCCGTTTGCCAAAAATCAGCTTTAAACGTCAAGCAGTTTAAGCAGAATCGTGATTACTCAATGGTCACATTTTATGAAACACCCTGTATATATTTTTAAAAAATTTTAAAATATGTAAAACAACGAAATAAAATATACGTTTTTAAGAGTTTTTCCAAATATTCTAATATTTGAGGGTGGTTTCACCCCCTTTGAATTCGAGTTTCGAAAAATCCCTTCTTATCAAACCTCTACACCCTAAAGTCAATCCGTTTTCCAAAAATCAGCTTTTTACGTCAAGGGCTTTAAGCAGGATCGTGATTAATCAATGACCAGATTTTTCAAAACACCCTGTATACATTTTTAAAAAATCTTAAAATATTATTCTGAAAATTTTTCAGAATAAATACCTAAATATTGAAACTTAATAACGTACTGAAACATACAGCGCCATAATATCTCGACCTCCGCCCGTTAGGCTCGTAACAGGTTGAAAAGCAATGTATCTAAAACAACTGATGCGTTATTCTCCAACCTGTTTCGAACTTCCATCGACAATCGACCGATGCAGCAGCGTTCCTTTCCCACTCCGATTATTTCGACCGTCACCATGTTATGCTCGTAATAGGTTGAAAAACAACGTATCTAAAATGACTGCTTCTCCAATCCGTTGCGAGCCTCCATCGACAATCGACCGATGCAGCAGCCTTCCTTTCCCACTCCTGTTATCTCGACCGCCAGGCGTTATGCCCGCAATTGTTTTAAAAAACCTGCTTCTTTTATATCCTATTATTTTTAAGCTGTTGTAAGCCCAATACGACCGTCGACGGGATCGACCGAAGCAGCAGCTACGTTCGTCGTAGCGCATTCCCCACTCCGTTGTCCGTTGTCTCGCCGCCTGTATCGATGGTTGACGAAATAACATGTTTTCCATCCATACTAGTTGTTTTTTGGAATTCCTTCGAGCAGCATAGAATTTCGGGGCGATGCAGAGCGCCGACTTCGTTTTTCGTTTCACGAGCGGCCGATCTCTACGTGTCGTTATTTTATATCTGTTATTTTTTAGAAGTAGTAACGGATGCGTTATGTTATTTCTAAATAATTGTTATAAAATAACAGATAGTTAAATAACAACCCATCACTAGTCCGTTGACGAGCTGAAGTAAAATATTTACGGATGAAAAGTGGCGCGAAAACGCTATGACCAATCAGAGCACCGTCGGACCAACGTCCCAACGTAGCCTAACTAACGCTTTAGCCTAACAGAGAAAAAATGCTTAACATTTCAGGAGGTGTGATCTCCTCCCGTCGCCAGAAGCAAAAAAAAACACAAAGATAACCTCAAAACAAAAAAATAAAAGAGGCTTTTTTAATCCAATCTAATATAAGATACAAGAGGTTAGTAATGTAGGACTATCGTTTCTTTGATTACTTATTTTTATCAAAACACCACAACATATTATATCAACATAAGTAAATATTTAAAACCAACAAAAGAATCATATACAGAAAGTTTAAGTTTTTTGGCGTTCTCTCAGTGTCAGTAACATAGTTATCTGCTAAAAAATGAAAGTGTTCTTGAATAGTTGTATTAAGATATTTTAGTTTATTTTTCTTTGTTTTTTGCTGCTGGCGACGCGCGACGGTAGGAGACATGCCTCCTGAAAAGTTAAGTATTTTGTGTTGGTTAGGCAAATTTGTTTTACTAGTAAAGTCACTGACCAGCTGGTTTCCGTTTGGATTCAACGCCCAGTGGTGTTTACAAAAAATAACTTTTTTATTTTGTAGATTTATTTCCAGTGGCTAAAGACCCCAGAAACAACTTAACCTAACCTAACCGTCACTGAATTATCTCTTAGAGCAGTATTTTTATATTTTTTTGTGCTTATAAAATAAATCAAAATCTGGAAATATTGAAAAAATATTAATATAATAATAATTAATAATTTTAAAACAAAACAAACATAGATTACATTTTCTGTCATTTTTTGGCTGTCTTTTGTTGAACTTTTCCCTCTCTTGTTTGATAAACTTAAACGTATTCTACGCTGTACCTATTACGCTGTCTTTTTATACTTAATACCAAAAAAATATCACTACTTAAGCCTACGAATTTGTAGAAGTTCCTGCACAAGAATAACTTAAACCTCCGTTAATAATAACTGAATTCTCGAGTAGTCCGTCACATTTTGCTTTAGATAAAATCTCCTCTATCGCTTTCTTCGCAAGCAACTGCTGACCAGGTCGTAATTCTCGATATTTTCTGGTTCAAGATTGACCCAACAAATATGCTTCATCCTCAATGATTGTTGAATCTTCCTCCTTGACTGTCGTTTTAAATTTTTTCGATAGGCAATTTTCCCCACTGGGTTGCTCAGAAGCTGGCCTTTTTTGGAGTAATGCAGTATCAGTTTTCTAAAATCAAGATATCATTACAGTTATGTGTCAAAACTTTAGATACATAAAGGAAAACACTTTAAGTTTCTAAGAAATTTTATTTCTAGCAAACTCTTCCCTTTTTCAGATACAGCTAAGAACATTACGAGATCTAATTTACCAAAATACATAAAATGCTACTTAAAAAAGTTGCTTAGTATGAAAAGCGAATGTTACATTCAAAGTCTCCCCTATTAAAATCATCATGAGTTGTAATACAGACTCATTGCTCATTGGTGGTCTAAAGATGTTGTTTTTCCTTTCTCTTGACGATTCCATATAAAAAAGCCATCATAAAAAATCAGACAAATAGCCAAACAACAGAGTGCATCTACCAGATACCCCATGAATTCGGAAAATTGACACAAAAAATATTAGAATAAGATGATAGACCACTACTTCTATTTTCCGTTTTTTTTTCATGTTATGAGACATGAATAAAAGCCAAAAATACATCTATGGAAGAAACACATACCGTAGTAACGAACAACGCAAATAAAGAAGAAATTAAAGAAAAACTGCTTAATCTAAGAACTAACAAACAAGTAACATATTAGTAGTTATACGCGGTGGGTCTCAAAAGTGGCTCACCCCTATAACTTTCTTATTTTTCTCAGAAAAAAAAAATGAGCTTTGGTATGTTAGTGTATGACATAAATTAGGATTGATTGACGTATTAAGTTGTTTTCAGTCACTTCCTGTTTCACCGGAAATCACAACAACTTTTGATTTTCAAATGACACCCTCAGTATTTTGTTACTTTATTCGATAGAAAATGACATTCTGAATAGAAATGACATGTCATATGTCAACTTTTGACATTTTCGAATATGGTTTACTTGAAATTGCAAAACGCTATTCATAGACAATTTGACTCAAAATACCAAGTGTGTGGTATCAAATTATTCATAAAAAAATGCTTTTTCCAAATATGCTAACGCCTCGTTCCATTTGAAAAAATTGAGATATTATTAAAAATACGATTTGGGTATCTTTTAACCGGCCAGGACAAGACACTAAAAACATTAGACGATCAAATCTATTTTTCCAAGGCTCCTTGATTAAAAATTAGTGTTTTTAATATAGCCATGGCCCTCTAGATTGAAATTTAAAATACAATTTTGTTTTAAGCAAAAAATGTAAAAAGTTCACATATGATATGTCATTCTATTCAGAGTCCCATTTTCTATTGAATAAAGTGAAAAAATACAGAGGGTACCATGTAAAAATTAAAAGTTGTAGTCGTTTCCGGTAAAACAGGAAGTGGCCGAAAAGAGTTGGATACGTCACTCAATCCTAATTTATGTAATTATTTATAATATAGTATGTATTTATAATATATTATTTTTTTATATTTTAGGTTATTATTTAAGGTGGTTAAGTTTAATTATTTAGGTGGTTAAGTTATAGGAGTGAGCCACTTTTGAGACGCACCCGGTTAAAAAAACACTTTATCTACCTCATTACTTACCATTTACTTACCTCATCAAGGCATAATGGGTCAAATTTAGATTCTTCAGTATCAATATCAGGTATATATTTAGGTTCATACAGCTCATCTTCAGGTACTTCTACTTTAATCTGAACTGGTGGATAATCTAAAATTAACAAAATACACATATTAGTAATAAATTGTGTTAAAGTACAATAATGTCTTAACAAGAAAGAGCATGTGTGATATATTTTTGAAATCAGAAAGAAATGTGCATTTTAGTATAAAGGGTTGTTCCATTAAAAAAAAAAATATTCTTTATACCAATATCTATGACATTTGACAGGTTATGACATTGGTAATAAGTGATAGGTATAACTTGATTAAAAACACTATAATTAGTTTTTATAACAGATATTTTATCTCCAAAAATATAAAAGTTAGTCAGTGTGGAACAAAGTAAAATGAAATCACTATATAATAATTTTATAATTATAATCACTTAATATAAACTGAAATCTGAAAAGTTAATTTAAATAAGTTTAAAAAAGAAACTAAAACGTTAGATTAAGTACACTCATATTTTTCTAATTGATACTTTACCAGAAAACTGCGCAGGATCCACGAAATCTGGATCGTCTTTTTCCGTTTCTGAAAAATAAGAAAAAAAAATAGAAATATCATAATGTATAGTATATCACAAATAACATAGAGTGTTCCAATATTTCGTGAACACACTATATATTTTTGGAACCAAAATAAGTTTAAAGTAAATTGTATCCACTTAATTTACCTCGATACAAATTCTAAAACTATTAATTTCAATTTATGAAGCTTAATCAAATATGATTTGTTACATTGACATAACATTTTTTAACTAGAATATTATCGCTCGATTTCAAGGATCGATGTGACAAGAAATATTTTTTTATATGTCAGCTTCAAAAAAAATGTTTTATGCGAGATAACGTTTGTTACCAGACAAAAAATTTAGTAAATGTTAGAAATTAGAAAGACCTTTTTACGAAAAAAAAAATTGTTGTTAAAGTTCCAAGGCTTTTCTATTAGAATTGATGTAGGGGTGAGGATAGATTTCACAAAACGCCTCGGCAGTGAATTTTTGACCACCTTGTATTATAAGAAAGAAAATTGCAATACTTTAAGTAATTTTAAATTAAACAAATACAAAAAAAAATCTCTTACTTATACATGGTATTTCCCCCACATTGACTAATTGTGGTGCATCTGCAATCGGATCAGCTGAAAATGAGAAGGAAAATATGAAAGCATGATGAAAAAAAATTATATATATATAAATTACTATCTGTTCCTATATCGTTCACATTAGCTAGATAGGAGTCATCCTCAGATTCAACGCTGTCCTGAGATTCAACGCCTGAAAAGAAAAAAAATATATGAAAATAAAGAAAATGTAAAAAATACAGGGTTGTAGAGATGGGCTGTTATTTTATAAGTTATTTAGAAATAATATAACGCAACCGTTGCTACTTCTAAAAAAACAGATATAAAATAACGACACGTAGAGATCGACAACACGTGATACGAAGTCGGCACTTCGGATCGCCAAAAATAACTAGTATTAAAAACTGCAGTTATATCGACAACCATCGATAACGGACGGCGCTCGAGATACAGCGGAGTGGAGAACGCGTTACGGCAAACGCTGTTGCATCGGTCGATGGTCGCTGTTGGGCTCGCAAGGGTTTGGAGAATAACGTATAGAAAATAAGCAGTTATTTTAGATACGTTATTTTTTAACCGGTTGCGAACATAACGGGCGGAGGTCGAGATACGGCGGACTGAGGAAGCAACGGCGTTTTTCCGGAGCGCTACGGCGAACACTCAGAACGCTGCTGTATCGGTCGATGTTAAACTCGAAACTGGTTAAAAATAACGTATATAAGAGAAGCAGTTATTTTATCTACGTTATTTTTGAAGTGAAACTTCTTTACGTGCGCTGGGAGTAAAAATTCAAACTCGTGACACACGAGCTAGCGAGACGGCCGTGACACACGAGCTAGTTGTAACGAAAAGTGGTAACGGTTTAGAAATACGTAGTGACGCGACGTGTATTTGTGAGCAGTCCATGTTTTTATCAAAAATATTGATATTTTAATGCAAATTTCGTAAAAGTGAGAATCAAATTGAGTCACAATTCAGTCAAAAACATACCTATCTTATTTTAGCTAACATAAGCCAATTGTTGCCACTCTACCTACTGAGGAATCTGAAAGGTTTTTTTGATTTTTTTTTAGTTTTTAGTTAAAGAGAGTATTAAGGGAGGCAAACAATAATAATATTGAAAATGGTTGAATAAGCTAAAAATGATGATGATGATGATAATATAAAATAGATTTTTAAAATAACTATGTCTTAAAAGAGTCATATGAAGAGAATTTAGTATTAGACGATTACATGCGAGTTTGGTACGCAGTAGAGGTGTATAGTTCGTAAACGAACTAGTTCCAATAAATTATTAAGACCCCGGAATGAAAGGAACTAGTTCCCGGTTTCTCAAAGAACTAGTTCCTTAAGACTTATTCCGGGATCGAGACTGTGACCGATATAAATAATAATATGCGACGGCAACGGATCAAAAGAACAAAATTTGCAGGCTATTGAGGAAACGGAAAATATACAGATTACAGAAATAAACTGAAAATAATATTTATAATAAAACAGCATTATGTCACTTTTTCAAACATGTCCTTCAAATCCAATAGTTGTTAGTAAGAAGTTTCACTTCAAATACACGCACATAGTGCACACACTGTTTTTTTATCATTGTGTTTACACAAACTGGCACATTGATAATTTGTCTATACAGGGTGTGCCAGAAATAAGTGCAAGTATTTTAACTGATAGTATAGTTTTATCCCAGAAATACGCCTATGAGGTTTTTTTTCTTGACATATTTCGGAAAATGTTGAAAAACTTTTGAGAGCCACCGAAAATTTTCATTCCCCGAAAATTCCCCGGTGAATAGAATCTTGGAGAGAATGCAGTATTGTCACCGCCTACATTACCCACATCTGCATGTTCATAAATTCATAGTAATTTTAAGTTTCTACACAAAAAAAATATAAAAATCAATTTTATTTATATTAGTGTATATTGTTATACTAATTATAGAGAAAGGCGCAATGTTTTAAATTCTTTTTACAGTTCAGTAAACTGAAAAAATAAATCATAATAATTATTACAGCGCCATATTAGGAAACATTTTCAATCGTTTCAATCAACAGTTTTAACCTTTAAATATTTAGTTAGTGCTTGCTCTTTTGATGAACATTTATCAGTATTTTTATCCAGCATATACACATACAGGTTGTTAATTTGTTTATTACTCGCGGCAAAAACTTTATGGTTGAAATATGGCAACCTCGGCCCGCTCGTCGAGAGACGTGACGGGACGAGTCGGCAGCTTAGCTACAGGGAGTAGGCAGTGTTGCCATTTTGTTCCTCAATAAGTAACCGTCCAGTTAACAATATGTATAAACAAACATATACACCCACATATCTATTAAACTGAACATCACAAAATTATCACTTGCAAAATATTATTTTTCACATCATAATAATTTACACAAATATAACAAAAAATATTAAAAACTTGCTTTTACAAACTACTTAAAACATTCCGGAGTTTTCTTCGAAGCCAAGACCGAAAGAGCTTACTTCACCCATTTAAAAAAAATAACGCGCCTTTGCTAAACCTTTTGGGTGATATGTATCTTCCAAGTAGTTTTTAAATGTTTCTAGTCGATGTGGCAACAGTGGGCGGCAAAGAAGCTTAGATCCGGGAAATTGTCGATTTTTGCCGGCGGTTCTCAAAATGTTACAATTATTTTTAAAAAATTTTAAAGTTAAATAACGCGTTAAATAACTAGCGATTAATTTACTTTAAAAATGGTAAAGAGAAAATATGTTTCTTTTGACCAGATCTACCGCCCCTTAAAATACTTGCACTTATTTCTGGAACACCCATATACCGTACTGACCATTAACATGGCGCAATCTCCTGATCTGCATAAATGGAATGCGAGGCGAAAGTTTCGATCTTTCTGATATTTCCAACGGTGGCAGGTGATCCGGAACGTCAGGAAATTTGAATCCATTATATGCCGACATGACTGGAATTTTCTTCTTATTCAATGAAGAAAAACATGTATTGCAAGCTAAAATATTTTCCACAGATGTATCAGGTAAAATTGTGTGTAGAATTTCATGGTGCGCTTCCACTGGTTGTTTTAAATCTTCTTTAAACCACACTCTATTACATATCGTGCAAACGTCTCCAAAAGGATTTTTTGTAAATTTATTCATAAATTCCTGGTGAGCTTGACGATAAGCACTGTACGTATTTTGCTCGTTCACATCAATCGGGATATCTGTAGATGTTAACTGTCGTCTGATATCTGAAGTGGCATCACACTCTACTTCCATCGCTTCCGATTTTAAAACTTGCACAGGACCAATTTGTATGTCAGTGGCATTTGACGAAACTTTGGCGACTGGAGAAACTTTTTGTCTTTGAGCGAAAATATTTGCGGCATCTTTCATCGCCTTCTTTCTCGCTCTGTATTCACGACTCCGCTGTGCACAGGATTTAGTCGGCTTTCTTGGTTGAACTAAGATACGATACGCACTGTACGTATTTTGCTCATCCACATCTGAAGTGGCGGAAGAATCACACTTAACTTCGATCACTTCGGATTGTAACACTTGCAGAGAATCAATTACTATGTCAGTGGCATTTGACGAAACATTAGCGATTGGAGAAACTCTTTGTCTTTGAGCGACAAAATTTGCGGCATCTTTCATCGCCTTCTTTCGCGCTCTGTATTCACGATTCCGCTGTGCACATGATTTAGGCGGATTTCTTGTTTGAATCAAGTTACGACAATAAACAGTGTACGCATTTTCCTCATCCACATCAATTGGGATATCTGTAGATATTGATTGTCGTCTGACATCTGAAGTGGCGGGAGCATCACAATCAACATCGATCACTTTGGATTCTAACACTTGCAGAGAATCAATTTGTATGTCAGTAGCCCTTGACGAAACACTGGCGACTGGAGAGACTACTGGTCTTTGAGCGACAATATTTTCGGCATCTGAAGTGGCGGGAAAGTCACACTCAACTTCGATCACTTCGGATTGTAACACTTGCACTTGTGTTTCGTACTTTGACGAAACACTGGCGACTGGAGAGACAATATTTTCGGCATTTTGCCTCGCCTTCTTTCGCTCTCTATATTCACGACACCGCTGTGCACATGATTTCCTAGGCCTTGTTGTTTGTACTTCGCCCCTTGCTTGAGAAAGATAATTATACAAAATACTACCATTGCCTCTGCTGGTACTGGGATGTGGAGTGTCTGTGACCTGTAGTCCAGATGTACTCGTCGATGGTATTTCATTGTCTCCTATAGTCGCGGCAATTGTCAAAGCTTTTTTACGGGCTCGATATTCTCGATTGCGTTGAGCTGCTGTTTTGGCTGGCAATTTTTGTTTCAATAATTTTATTCGAGCTCTGTATTCTCGTACGTAGTCGGCATTTGTTTTTGGCATATCGGCGCCTACAAAATAATAATAATAATACGAAATTAAAAATCACGGCATTGTGTAATTGTCATGTAACAACATTGTTTATATCTATTATTGATACTACTTGTTTGAGAATGATAAATAATTATACAAAATATTACCCTCGCCTCTGCTGGTACTGGGATGTGGAGTGTCTGTGACCTGTAGTCCAGAAGAACTCGTCGATAGTATTTCATTGTCACCTATAGTCGCGATTTTCAAAGCTTTTTTACGAGCTCGATATTCTCGACAGCTTTGAGCCGCTGTTTTGGCTGGCATTTTTTGTTTCAGATGTGGAGTATCTGTAACCTGTACCGCAAAAGAACTCGTCGATAGTATTTCATTGTCTCCTATAGTCGCGGCAATTCGCAAAGCTTTTTTACGAGCTCGATATTCTCGACTGCATTGAGCTGCTGTTTTGGCTGGCCTTTTTTGTTTCAATAATTTTTTTCGAGCTCTGTATTCTCGTACGCGCTCGGCAGTTGTTTTTGGCATATCGGTGCCTACAAATAATAATAATACGAAATTAAAAATCACAGTATTGTGTAATTGTCATTTAACAACATTGTTTATATCTATTATTGAATACTACTTGTTTGAGAAGGATAATTGTACAAAATATTACCCTCGCCTCTGCTGGTACTCGGATGTAGAGTGTCTGTGACCAGTAGTCCAGAGGAACTTGTCGATGGTATTTCATTGTTTCCTAGAGTCACGGCATTTCTTAAAGCTTTTTTTCGAGCTTAATATTCTCGATTGCGTTGAGCTGCTGTTTTGGCTGGCGATTTTTGTTTCAATAATTTTTTTCGAGCTCTGAATTCTCGTACGTACTCGGCATTTGTTTTTGGCATATTAGTGTCTATAAATAATAATAATATGAAATTCAAAATCACAGTTTTGTGTAATTGTTATTTAACAACATTGTTTATATCTATTATTGAATACTACTTGTTTGAGAAAGATAATTTATAAAGTATTACCATCGCCTCTGCTGGTATTCGGATGTGGAGTATCTGTGACTTGTGGTCCAGAGGAACTCGTCGATGTCCGCTATAATCGTGGCATTTCTCAAAGTTTTTTCCCAACTCGAATACTCGTTGAGCTGCTGTTTTGGCTGGCGATTTTTGGTTCAATAATTTTTTTCGAGCTCTGAATTCTCCTACGTACTTGGAATTTGTTTTTGGTATATAGGTGTCTATAAATAATAATAATAATACGTAATTAAAAATCACAGTTACTTAACAACACTGTTTATTGAACAATACAACATAGTTTTCTCCAAAAAAATCCTTTATGGGTATTTCGCCACTAAACTGCAAGAAAAATCTAAAAAATAAAATAGTTATTTTTTGTAAACACTTCTGCGTTAAACCTAAACGGACACTGCTTGTCAGAAGTTTTGTTTACAGTAATAAAAATTTGCCTAACAAAGAAAAAAATGCTTAACGTTTCGGAAAGTTTACCTCTTTCCGTCGCCGGAAGCAAAAAAAAATACAAAGAATAAAGAAAAAAACTATTTAAAATATTTAAATTCAACTATTCGAGAACACTTTACTTTTTTTTAAAACAGATACGTCTACAAGAAACCGTTGACGTTCTGTTAAAAATAACGGTTTCTTGTAGACGTATCTGTTTTAAAAAAAGTAGTGTTCTCGAATAGTTGAATTTAAATATCTTAAATAGTTTTTTTCTTTATTCTTTGCATTTATTTTGCTTCCGATTACTAACTGATTTGAAATCTAATAACTTTTCGTCTGTACCTGTATAAAAGGATAGCGCCAAATAGTGTTTACATTGTCCTTATGGGCACTTTCCAATCTAAACTTGTTTCATTTATCTATGGATAAAATAATTTAGTACACACTAAAAACACGGTATGTCGCTAGTGGTAGGAAAAATAATTTTTAGAGGTTACTAGTTTATTTAGTTGCCTGTGATATGATGCATATACAGGGTGTTTCCTAATTAATCTAAAAAATAAAAAATCCTTAGAAAACGAATTAATGCGGGCTCTTAATAAGTATATTTATTTTTTTCTCAACAACCGTTTGATGAACAAGAAAAACTCAAAAGATCAATTTTGTTGAAAAAGGATGGCCAGTCAAGAAAAAAATATGTTTTCTTTAAAAAAGCAGTGGTGTACCATTTATGTTAAGCAACAAAATCGATTTTTTTAATTTTTAACACCCTGTAGATCAGAAAGGAAAAACAGAAACAGAAAGAAAAACTTTAGACCTAATGGTTATATAAAAATTGTTTTAAGAACACATGAGGAATCACACCATAATTTTTTTAGACTAATTCGAAAACACCCTGTATATTGTCAACTTCACAGTGATTGCTGATAAATCAAAAAATACCTTTTCAGTGAAAAAAGCCTGATTTTCGCAGGAAAAATTTTGATTTTTAAAGAATTTGTGCCTGCGTTAGCAAATACTCGTTTGTTTTTTAATTTTCTATCTATCTAAATTTTAAATATCATAGTCAGAAATAGTTTTATTATTTATTAAAACTGTAAAAATGGTGTTTTCGTGTTGTGTTGCATCTTGCAAAGAAACTAACAAAACTGCAAAAATGTACGTGTTTCCAAAAGACGATAAGGTATGTATCTTAGATAAAAGAAAAATATATGGTATGTATTCGTTGTTTGATTTTTTTTTCGTTCGCTTTAAAATCTATAAATGTCTGTCTATTCATTAGACAGCCAGTCGACTTACGATCATTTACATGAAACTCTAAAATAAATAACAAAATAAATTGTAATATATATATATATATATATATATATATATATATATATATATATATATATATATATTCTTATGTTTTATTAATAATATATCAGTGTAACTTTAAAAATAAATCCTTTGAATTCAAATATAAACATAAAAACACATTTACAGCAGAAAAGGCGAAGGCGCTGGGTTAAACGTAGTCTCCACTAAAAACACGGAGGGGCGCTTTGACCCAAAATTTTACTATTAAGTTTCATACATAGATAAAAGAAAATAATCTTCTATTAAGAGTTTCATATCTATCTTAATAGTAGATTATTTTCTTTTATCTATGAGCTACTGGTTAAAAAAGAAAAGATATACCCTTTAAAACTAAATCTTAAATAACTTAAAAACAGTTTATTTTAGGTATTATAGAAGTAAATAGGAAAATGGAAACTAACGGGGATAATAAAAACTAATAGGGAAATGAAACTAACAACGGCAAACCAAAGTTAATACTACTAAAATTGCGCGTTAGGGACACCAAATTTGATTGCGTTGGTTACACTCTCAATAGGTTGTTTTTTTTTGTATTTCTTTTTTTTTATTACAAATTTGATTGCTTTGGTTTAATGTTCATATCTCTTTTTTTAATTAAAAAAAAAGAATTAACTTAGAAAGAATTTATCTTTTAACCCTAAGTTATGAAAAAGCGCAAAAATATTTTCATGGTTAGAAAATTTTTCTCTCTTATTTTACAAAAAATCGCATTTTCCTGACTAAAAAGGCAGAATATCCACTTGATTTTATAGAAAATTTGTTAATTTTGACAACCCTAAAGTGAAACGGACACATAATATTTACCCTTATGGCCTTAATCTTATCAAAATTTTCATAGTTTTCACTTGATCTAAAACGCGCCCAAAAAACTGTGTCCAGATTTTACTGTAATAATTACATAAGGTAAATAGTAAATAAATAAATTTAATAGTTATTTAACACCTAAATAATTAGGAAGTGGTTGTTTATAATAAAAAAATAAAGTAATAACTCCACTATGGTTCTTACCGATTAAATGATACGTTTTTGTTATAACGGCTACTTTTTTTACAATCTTGGCAAACGAGTCGTTACTGTAGAATCTTCATAAAATCGTATATAACTGTAAAACCTTCCAGATCGTAGAAAAATATTGAAATTGAAAAAATAATATGTAGACAAGTTCAAAGACTTCAAACAGCTGATACAGAGATTTGACATTTGATAATGCAACCACAGAATCGTTTAAATACTTGCCAGTGTAGCCAATACTCAGCCAGGGCTGAGTAAAAAATGATAAGTTTCATCGCGCGAAATCAACGCGCTGGTTACGTGAGAGTACGTGAGAGCCTACAGGTTTGTTCTCACAGCGTGTTCCCAACATGTTTGTGACTTCTTCCAAACCGGTGTTAATGCGCAGGTCTCAAATAAGGCAGTTTCTTGTCGATTTCAAACTGTCTGTGCGAACAGCGAATCCCCTACTTTTCTTTTTTGATCTAATAATAGCTTTGTTCCAACGACGGAAAGAACCGTACTCGGTACGGTAACGCTTCTGCGCAGTGGAGAAAAAGCGTTCCAACCACGAGAGAATCGTTTAGTGAACGATAACTTTTGCGTTCCAACAAGACTTGTCACCGTTAGTGAATCGATTCCGGGACCGTAATTTCGATACCAGCCTGAAAGCAAGAATCATAGGGACTGACATGCGCATTAAGAGTGTGTCAGCAGATCACTGATTTTTTCTGGACTTTAAGTTCCTTTAGCCATTTCTCTTATTAATTTTAACAGTTTATGTTAAATGTGTTTAATGTTATTTAATGATCATGCAGCGCTGTCAGAAATTTTAAGATTTTGGCGATTCGCAAGATTTAAAATTTGGGGGGCGGGAAAGTTAAAGTGTTTTCAACTTTTTGCGAATATTCGCGCGATTTTAAGGTTCGCGTTTGCGCAGAATGGTGTTGTGATCCGGTTATCGATTATTTTGACGACGCTGCCACAAAATACCAAAGTACAAAGTAACTGAAAGCATTTCTCCAGGTTAAATGGGTTCTCGTGTATGTTTTTGATATATGGTGACAATTTTTCAACCAAGTTATCAAACTCCTGTACAGACAATCTGTGAAAATTCTGAAAAAATTTGTCCTCATTTCTTGAATTAAATTGCGATAAGCACTTTGTTGCTTATGAAATTTAAATATTTCACATGTCCCAAATGACCTATAAACCCGTTCTATTCTACGTTTTAACAATAAGTAAATGGCAATTTTGCACCTTCTGTTCCAATCCCACAATCGTAATCAATATTCATAATCATTAAACAAATTTAAACTCATATTGTTTGCTATAAAATATAAAATAAAGATCGTAAACACGAATAAAGACAAATTAAGTTATCTCAGGTTATGATTTTTTTAGTAACTTTCAGTGGAGCAAAAATGAAATGTCCCTAAAAATTCGCGACTGTATGAAATAGGTCCAAATTTTGCGAATATTTTTTGGCGAATCGCTTTTCGCAATTCGCGATTCGCGTCTATAGGTTTGTTCTCACAGCGTGTTCCCAACATGTTTGTGACTTCTTCCAAACCGGTGTTAATGCGCAGGTCTCAAATAAGGCAGTTTCTTGTCGATTTCAAACTGTCTGTGCGAACAGCGAATCCCCTACTTTTCTTTTTTGATCTAATAATACCACTAATTTGAACTCCTACGTAATACCGAATAAAGAAGAAAATGAACAGGGAATTAACCAAAGACATCTTTTAATGTTTTTGGTTTTGTTCTTTTTAATGTTTTAATGTTTTGTAATTTTGATTGCCTGACCCGTTCCTCCATCAGCCCTTCTAGGTCTGTGTCTGTATTCGAAAATTCGGATGCCTCAGATTCTTAGGGAGATTCAAAATCGCTCATTTCTTTTCCTTTATTTTTTGAAGAAAAAAACACTAAACAAAAACAACACACGTTTTGTAGGTTAAGGTTACCAATTAATGACGTCGGGTCGCAATACGCATGCGCCGGACACTTTACTTGCAAAAGATCCGCGAACAGGTCTGACTGTCAGCTAACAATCAGCATTTTCTGTGCGAACAGCGTACTGTTGGTTGGAAACCAATCAAAAATTTCTGTGCGAACGCGTTTTACCCTATTGCGCATGATTATCTGTTGGAAATATGTTTCTTATAGCTGTAAGAACAAACCTTACGTAATTGAGGGGCCTCCTTACATTTCTACAGCTCTTCTTCTCTGTCTTTTATTTGTTTCCTTGTCAGATGTTCAGTTAAAAGCCGTTAAAACATTGATATTTTGTATTGTTCTGAGCAATCAGATGAAAACTTGAATTGAAATTCAAGTTTACTGAAGTTTATATTTTTTACAAACTTTAAAACAAGTATATTGAAGCGTTAATAATAAGCTTAACTTTTGTACATTTTACATTACATGTTTTTTGAGTACCTACGCTGTAACTGTTGCCTTGTTATGGATATTAATATGTGCCGTTGTTCTTTAGTATCATTTCTAATGATACCAAAGAACAACGCCTGCTTATTTCTTTGATGAGGAACCCTGTACAATCATAATGTAATTTCTTGAATTTCCCAATAAAGTAACAACACTACACAACACAAATTTCAAATAATACAAAATAATTTCGAATACGGTTACGATTCCACGAAAGTAAACTTAAAAAATAGTATTAGTCCAATCATCTTAGTCGAAATACGGTAGGAATCTCGGAATTCAAGATAACCGGCTGTAAACTCGTATAAACCTTTATTTTAACATTCTAAAACATGTCTCAAAACCTATATATGATAGCGTGTGCGCGACTGATAACGGAGGTCAAAAGTCAAAAAGTTTTTGACCGAGACTACAGGTTGAACTTGAATGATATTGTACAATTTGAAAGACTTAAAGGAAAGACTGCGCGCTCACCGCCCTCTATCTCAGAAACGGTTTGAGGTACAAAAACATATTTGAAACAAAAGTTGTAGAGAATTTTATCCTCTACAATATTTATAATAAACACAAATAGCGTAAATGTGAAAGGGAACGAGATATTTGCAAAAAATGCGCAATAAATCGATTTTTTGACCTTTGACCTCAGTTATCTACAAGTCGCGCACACGCTATCATATGTAGGTTTTGAGACATGTTTTTTCATGTTCACAGTTGATCTGTCGGTGAACTTCGTTGGTACAACCGGGCCTTAGGATGTTAAAATAAAGGTTTATACGAGTTTACAGCCGGTTATCCCGAATTCCGAGGTGAAACCCCTAAGATGCCTGGACTATATTCCATTACTCTCCAATACTGATTTATTTCGCTGCATTTTTTATGTTTTCGCTATCTGGCGACGATATGGCGGGTTGTTATTGGGTCGATATTAAGTAGGATCTGCATCCATCAGTACCAGCACTGAGAGAGGTCCTTGGATTCATATCCATCCAGACCTACCCATCTCTAATAAAAACTGTTTAACCTCGACATTTTGTGTGTTTCAAGTTAAAATAAATAGAGAACAACGGCACAGACTACAACAAGTAGACGTTTACGTACGCACGCGCATTTCCTATATTTTTACATGTATAAGATGCTTTACGTATACGTGTCAGCAGCGGCCGACTCGGCCGTAGGCCGTTTTTCTCTAATAAACAGAAATGAACTGAACGGTTACATACACGTTCAGGCTCCGAAGTTTGCGATGGCCAAATTCGAGCAGGGTATGACTTCGCTCAGATCAGGCCAACAGCCTGCATAGTCGGCTGTAAGTCCCCACACACAAAACTGGTTTGTGTGAAAAAACTGAGCGTCTGTGATGGCCTTTACTCTGAAAGGTCTGCTGTGAAGGAGCCAGGAGTTAAGTTTGGAGAAATATCTCTAGATATAGAGAAAATAAAAGCTATTTTAGAAAAAGGAGTATTTTTTTTGCAAAAAATAACGATTTGACAAAAACAGAAATTATTTATAGAATTTAATAAAAAATATAAGTAGTTTTCTAGTGTAGAGAACATTTTACATCTGTAAAAACATAAATATAAACTTTCACACATAACGAAATTAAACTGTTAACATCAAATATGCTTATAAATGGTAAGTATATGAATAAAAAAATAGAATTCATATAATATGAAAATAAGGTTTGAATCCAGAACATTTGAATAATCTTTCCAGAGAGAATATGTATTAATTTGACAACATACCTTAATAAGATATTAGATATTAAGACTATAGATATTATTGGAAGAACAACTTTTTCAGAACATAATTAAGAAACTAAGGACCCTATTATAACAATTAAAAATATATACATATATACATCAGAGAGTAAGGACTATAGGTATTAGTATAATTTTTAATATTATTGATCAAAGCTGAATATTACATTTCATTTCTCTTAATATTGTAGTCTAAATCCTGTTTAACAATGCATCAATTTGGGTTTCAGAAGTTGTTGTCATTTTACACGAACAATATCGGTTAAACATCTATTTGTTTAAAGTTAACATCACAGTTTAAATCACTAAACCTTAGAATTTATTAAAACAAAATATTAAGAAAATGTCTTTCAAAAAGTATGAAGTTTGTTCAACGGTTCAACAAGAAAAAGGATGGTTTCAAGAGAAAACATCCAAAAATTTGAGCAAAAATATGAAAAACTACTGACAAATATGTAATTACGTTTGAATTAAAATTACAGACAACCGAAACTGTAAATAATGTAATACACCAGAAAATTATCATCGTATTATCTCTTTGAGCAGTATTTATATACTTTTTGTGGTTATACTATAAATCAAAATCATTTAAAACAAAACACACATAGTTTACATTTTCTGTCATCTTTTGGCTGTCTTCTGTTGAGCTTTTCCTTCTGTTGAACTTTTTGTCTCTTATTAGACAGACTTAAACGTACTCTGTATTATGCTGTCTTAATATACTTAATACCGAAAAAATATCACTACTTAAGCCTACAAATTTGTAGATGTTCCCGCACAAGGTAAACTTAAACCTCCGTTAATAATAACTGAATTCTCAAGTAGTGCGTCACATTTTGCTGTAGATAAAATGTCCTCTATGGCTTTCTTCGCAAGCAACTGCTGACCAGGTCGTAATTCTCGATATTTTCTGGCCCAAGATTGAGCCAACACATATGCTTCATCCTCAATGGTCGAATCCTCGATGGTTGAATCTTCTTTCTTGATGGTCGTTTTTAATTTTTTCGATAGGCAATTTTCCTCACTGAGTTGCTCAGAAGCTGGTCTTTTTTTAGGTAATGCGGTATCAGTTTTCTAAAATAAAGGTAATGTTACAGTTATGTGCATAATTACAGTTATGTGTCAAAATTTTGGATACACAAAGGAAAATACTTAAGTTTCTAAGAAATTTTATTTCTAGCAAACCTCTCCCTTTATCAGATAGAGGTAAGAACATTAAGAAGTCTCATTTACCAAAATACATAAAAAAGTTGCTACATATTAAAAGTGAATGTTAATTTAAAGTCTCGCCTATTAAAAATCATCATGATCATGAGTTGTAATACACTCATTTGTGCGACAGCCTGAGGAAGATACTCTTTTTCTTTCTCTTGATGATTCCATATATAAAAGAAACATCAGAAAAGATCAGGGAATAGACAAATAATATAATAATAAGCTTTAAGTTTTTAAGTTTGAAACTACTCTAAGAACCGTCTTAACAAAAAGAAGACCGTACACATTGATACAAGTGAAAGGCTACATTTATCAGGTATCCTGTGAATGCGGTGAGTCGTATACTGGGAAGATATTAAAGATTAAACACAATACGTCCTCTAAATGTAAGACTTAATCACCACAGAAATCATACGAAAAAAGGTGAAACAATGAAGTTATCAGGTATTAAAGACAATGTGCGGTCCAAGGCAGCACAACATAAAGTGATTGAAACCCGGGTTGTACCCAAGGAACCTCATTCGAAAAAGCGTAAATTTAAAAAAGCCGTTTTATATCAAACTACAGTAACATCTTTTGAAATCCAAGTGTGGCAATAAGTAAGTTATACCGTATGTTCGAATCAAAAAAAGATTGGAAGAAAGTTGGCTTGAAAATTATATTCTCCATACTAAGGGCTGCCAAATGTTAGTTTTGGGTCGAGATTGCCGTATGTAAGAAGAGTACGATACGTTTATAATGCACTGAACAAAGAGAGAACAGTAAAAACGTTGCCAAACGTATGAAATAAACAGAGAATCGGTGCACACTCCTAAGAGACGGGGATACAGCAGACTCATCGCGGTCGATCGGTCAACCCAATCACTACTCAAAATTCTATATAGAGAAGGGTGTATATGATGCGTTCAGCTTTACGATTTAATTACGTCTCGTTATACTTTATTTGTTTATTTATTAACGAGTCCTTGTAATTTTCCCTATAGCTTGTAAATTTTTAAGTGCGAGTTAGAAACACTTGCATTTTTGGTAAAAATAAGTGGTATTGAGCTGATGGTGTTCGACAGTGGTCGCCCTATTAGAAATCTGAATTCAAAAATCGATGCCTCGAAATCTTTTAGAAATAATTATAGATTCTTTTCGAAAAGTTCCTTAATATTTCTGCTATATTTCCTTCGCAGACAGATTTATGTGAAAAACTTTACAAATAAAAAAGTTACACGATTGCTGAAAATTGCTATATGCACTAAAAGCAAATGGACGTTATTTTTTAATCGTTTGAATGAAAAAAAAATAAGCCTATCGATTTTTTCTCATTTAAACATCTTTTAAAAGATCTGAACTTCAAAATAAAAAAAAAGTTTCAATATCTAAATTGGTTTTTGAGTTGTCGCGTGTTATGTGTGTTAAACAGTAGAGTTTTTAAATTATTGCGATTACTGACGCTTTCTCGTTATAAAAAATATGGATACACTAACGATATCCTTATAATTCCATTTCAGATGCTCAGAAACATATCTAATGATTTTATCCAGTTAGCTTTTCGAAAAAAAAGTTTTTTAAAAATGAGCGGTTTGCGATCGTGATTTTACTTTACTTGATAGGGAAAGGCGTACCGGAGAAATGCGGCAACCAAACAAAAACAAATACAACAGCACAATGTCGCATTTCTCTCACTCCGACTTAGTAAGATCCCTAAGCGATTTACTTCCACACATGTAAATACCGACCCAAAAGTAAGAGTTGACAGCACGGTATAATTTTACACATAAAATGACACCAGTCTTCATTTCATAACCATCGCTGACGCCCTTTTTTTATCATATTGTATAGAGCCAATTAATATTCGAAATTTTTTAGTATCACTACTGATCTATTGTCTATCACATTCACAGAAATGACTAGTGGTCGGTGAAATGTGATAAACTGCTAACTCCATCATTCCTAATTTTACAGGAGAGTAAAAAAAAACCGGTACAAAAAAATATGTACACATGTAGGAAGTATATTCATGCGTTAATACGATAAAGAGATAAGAATATTATTTGTTGGGAAACAATAAAACTGAATATTTTGTGTTGCTTTATTTTTTTCAGACAAAATAGGGAGATAGCAGATATTCGTCTTGCAGAAATAGGAAATAAAAAAATATTTCTGGAGATAACAACCTTTATTGTTTGAATTATTGAAAATCGAATTGAATATTACCCAAACATATTTAGAAATAAACAATTAAATTTAAAAAAATATGATATTCATATAATAATATGATATTCGTATATTTATATCGTCGGTTAATTTTTAACTCTATGATCGTCGGTCTAGAAGCAGAAGACACAAGTCTAAAAACGAATAAAATTTTAATGTATTTTTAATAAACTAAAATAGCGCCATTAGGGACTAATAATGAAGATGAAAATAATTTAAAAATTAAGCTTATAATTCTTAGAAGATATGGTAGATTTTTCCTGTATAAAGCTCTGTATTCTGGAAGAAATCTAGTCAAATGATATAAATAAATCTGAATTTAAATAATTGGACTTGCATGTATTGCGTGTATTTTGCATGTTTTTTATACCGACGGTATAAACAACACGTAATAATATTGATTTATATAGTTTTCCAAAACAAAATTATGTCACACATATTTATGTGTAAGGTAAATTATCATAAAATTCGTGATAATCTACTGGAAGTGTAAGTTTTATTTGCTGCAAATCTTCATATTTACGTTTCTTGATCGAAACTCTGTTTTCATGAAGAAGTTGTAGTTTGTCCCATAGTTTATTAGTTATAATGGCCTTTCGTTGGGGTACGCTAAAGTCTACTTTGGCCCAGTCGCGGTCCAGAGCGTATACTTTTATAAGCCATAACATCACCGACCTTTCTGAAGAATGAGTGGTCCAAATAAGTTACATCATATGGCTGAGGATTCCTTCGAGCACTTCTACAAATCTTTATGTAGTCTGCAGGTACATTGATCACTTCTTACGTCAACACCTTTCTATAGTAGACTGCATACTATCGGCCTTCATTTGGGTGTGACCCACTTCTAAATAATTCTAAACTATTGTAATATTTTGTAATAATAGCTAAATTCAAAAGTGCGTTTACAGTCATCACTGTATATAATTAATTTTTTATTGATATTACTATCATCGTTTTCAATGCTAGGTAATTTCTTCTATTAAAAATAAACCCAAATAGAAGCAAATTCTTCCGCATTTACAGCCCCCTCTACCTCATTCCACAAAAAACAATAACCATCATTATTAATTATACCGGGTGCGTCTGAAAAGTGGCTCACCTCCTATAACTTTTTTATTTTTTCATATAAAAAAAACAAGATTTGGTATGTTAGTAAGTATATGACATAAATTAGGATTGATTGACGTATTCATTTGTTTTTGGTCACTTCCTGTTTCACCGGAAATGACTACCAACTTTTGATTTTTAAATGGCACCCTCGGTACTTTTTTACTTTATTCGATAGACAATGACATTCTGAATAGAACGACATATCATATACCAACTTTTGACAATCTCGCTTAATAAAAAATCGTCTTTTAAAATTCAATCTAGAGTGCCGTGACTATGTTAAAATCACTAATTCTTAATCAAGGAGCCTTGGAAAAATAGATTTGATCGTCTAATGTTTTTAGTGTCTTGTCCTGGCCAGTTAGAAAATCCTCAAATCGTATTTTTAATCTTATATCTCATTTTTTTCAAATGGAACTAGTGTGGCTCATTAGCATAATTGAAAAAAGCAATTTTTACGAATAATTTGATACCACACACCTGGTATTTCGAGTCAAATTTTCGTTACGAACCGCAAGTTATAATTTCAAATTAACCATATGCGAAAATGTCAAAAGCTGACATATGATATGTCATTCTATTCAGAGTGTTATTTTCTACGGAATAAAGTAAAAAATTACCGAGAGTGTCATTTAAAAATCAAAAGTTGTAGTCATTTCCGGTGAAACAGGAAGTGACCGAAAACAATTGAATATGTCAATCAATCCTAATTTATGTCATATACTAACATACCAAATCTCGTTTCTTTATCTGAAAAAATAAAAAAGTTATAGGGGGTGAGCCACTTTTGAGACACACCCGGTATTATAAAAACATATGTTGTAGACTTTTTCAGCTTTTTGGCAGTTTCGCGCGATAATATAGCGTAGAAACTTGTGATTTGGGAGCCATAAGAATTACTTGCATATCTGCCGTGAAAACAAAATTACTTCTTGTTTGTCTTTGTCTTTCTCTAACCTTGCCTCTTCTTTTCTAAATATATGGGATTCATAATATTCTTCTGTTACTGTTTCTGCTTTATATCCGGCACATTTCTCACATTCATCTTTTTCAGGTCTAACAAAGCAATGTTCCTCAAGAAGTGCGGCGTTAAAATTTGTTCTTGAAAGAGGTTGAATGTTGTGCGATTTCCACCAATTTGTTACATAAAAATTATAAACTGATTGTTTTGATGGCCATTCCGGCAAGAGGTACTTTTTGTGCGAAGATGATTGGCAGTAATGAGAATCCATTACCGGAAGCGAATCTAAAAATTCATTTAATTGGAACCTTAACTTTAATTAACTTGGAACTTTGCCAATTTTAAAACTGTTTTTCCAATTGAGAACTGTCATCCTTCCGATACCCAACGTATTCAAAAACATTGTTTTGCATACCCGCACATTATCATCCTCAACTCTTAAGTGGTAACTCAGAGATTGGGATCTTCTAGATTGGTTTTCGATTTTTCTATGCCGATGTCGTTGGGTTGGTACAAGAATTACTGTATTGTTGATATACACTCTCTTTTCATCCCAGGTTAGCTGTGCCCAGAAGTGATCGAATAGTTTTTTCCTGTCATTTTCTGATATTGTTGCACATTTCATTACACCCTTTTCTTTTTTCTGGCACGTACATCTTTCTTTCATTTTTCGAGGCTCTTTGGGCTTCTCATAACTCCACTTATTATTATCTGTGAGTTTTATGCGACCAAGGTAAGATTGGCCTTTTTCACGTCGAATTTTGTTTTTTACCGCCAACCAATCCGATTTATCACTCTGAGGCCGCTTTCTGCAAATTTTACTTTTTTCTGGCATAATCGGAGGAAGCACAATATCCGAATCGGACGAAGACGTTTCTGAATAAGGTACCAGTGACAGCACCTGGAAAGATGTAAAGAAGATCTTATGTACAGTATTGAGCTCTATGTACAATAAGGCTTAAGATTATTAACTTTTTATTTTGCAGATTTCTTTTCCAGTAGCAAAAAATCGACTTTTTTGAAGAAGCTTAAGATGATTTTATTTCATTAAAAATTTAGTCAAAAAATTAAAATGATCTAAATATTTCCTATTATTTACAAAAAAGCAACAGAAATTTAGCTCCTCCGAGAAGATACATAAGCTTGAGATACTATAAAAACTAATTTTAAATAACAAATATCATGTTTGCAACCTATATACCGTATGATCGAAAAAAAAACGGCGTCCAGTTGGGTGGGAAATGACGATCGATGGCATTTCCCATATAAATTTACATACAAAATGACTGCGATCTTCATTTCATAGCCGTCGCTGACGCCGTTTTTTTCTGATCATACGGTATTATATTTAGTAAATACCTCAGTAAATACATACTGTTACGAAAAACTTCCAGCAATATTGGCATAGAACCTTTGAATAAGAAGACTAAGGAAGGAGCATATCAAAAATCTTAGGTACACCGCGATGGGCCTCAAATATGGCCGACTTAAATTCCGGTTTATCAGTATTTTCTAATTTTATTTAAAAAATGTAAAACTATGATGTAGGGTAGGCGTGGGGTAGACTCAATAATTTGTTATTTTATTTTACGTTGTGAATAAATGTTGGTAGTTATTAAAATTGTTAAAAAATATATAATTCTAATAAAAATAGATAAGTTATAATAAGTATTTATTAACACAAACATCCGATACGCTACTGAAGCAGGTAAGTCAAATAGGTAACGTATAAATAGGTAACGTATCAAATAGTCAAAAAAACGTATCAATAGTCAGGTAACGTATCAAAACTCTTTGACATCTGATCTTTGACAAGTAGTAAATAAAAGCTAAAATGCAAGAAAATATATAATTTAAGTGAATTTCATAAATGATCGGTTTACTACACGTATGTATATTATATAGTCACTTACTAGCGAAAAATTGTTCCATTATTTCACTCAATTTTTGCCGAGATCTACCGCACGCTACACAACCAACTATTTTAGTCTTTTTCGATAAATCGCGATAATGTCACTGTTAATTTAAGTTCTGCCACAATTTCCATCTAGATTTACTACCTTTATACAACTATCAGTAGTAGAATAAATAATAAATAACATAAAATAAGCTCCGTAAAGACTGACAAATCCACAAAATTTCAAATCAAATTCAAATGTGTCAAATGAATCGACAAACAGAACTGTCAAGGATCCCCACCCTAGAGAGCTTTTTCCGCCCACCATGCATGAATACATGGATAGCATTATGCTCCTTCCTTAGTCTTCTTATTCAAAACATAGAACAGTAAATAAAACACAAAGAATTAATGTACGTCTACTGGATATGGAATATTGGAGTATCTATTATTAATTTACTCCAAAACATAATATTTAAATAAACAGCAATATACCGGGTGCGTCTCAAGTGGCTCACCCCTATAACTTTTTTATTTTTTCACATAAAAAACCAGATTTGGTATGCTAGTATATGACATAAATTAGGATTGATTGACGAATTCAATTGTTTTTGGTCGCTTCCTGTTTCACCGGAAATGACTACACTTTTGATTTTTAAACGACACCCTTGGTTTTTTTTAACTTTATTCGATAGAAAATGACATTCTGAATAGAATGACATGTCATATGTCAACTTTTGACATTCTCGCTTAATAAAAAATTATATTTTAAAATTCAATATAAAGTGCCACGGCTATGTTAAAAACAATTCTTAATCAAGGAACCTTAGAAAGGAAAAATAGATTTGATCGTCTAATGTTTTTAGTGTCTTGTCCTGGCAGTTAGAAAATCCTCAAATCGTATTTTTAATCATATCTCAATTTTTTAAAATGGAACGAGGGTGGTTTGGAAAAAGCATTTTTTAAGAATATGTAATTTGATACCACACACTTGGTATTTCGATTCAAATTTTCTCTACAAACCGCAAGGTATAATTTCAAATAAATTATATGCAAAAATGTCAAAATTGACATATGATATGTCATTCTATCCAGAATGTCATTTTCTATCGAATAAAGTAAAAAAATACCAAGAGTGCCATTTAAAAATAAAAAGTTGTAGTAATTTCCGGTGAAACAGGAAGTGACTAAAACAAGTGAATAAGTCACTCAATCCTAATTTATGTCATATACTAAAATACTAAATCGGGGTAGGCCATTTTTGAGACACACCTGGTATTTTATAGATACTTTTTAGAGATTTTTTTTCATACACGCGCTAGTAGTGATGGGTATTACGATTCTTTTTAGTGAATCGAATCACACGATTCAATTTCTCATAATGAATCGACTCCTATAATTCGTTCATTTGAACGAACCACATGCACAATTTACGTTTCATAAAAACAAGATCGTAACTGGCACTACCGGCGATAATTTGGTAGGACAATTACTTATGGGGCCAGAAAAATAAATATACAGTTTTTTCATTTGTTTTTCAACACTTTATGACACTGGCGTAATTGGATTGATTATTTTACCAATAACATTAATTATTATCAATCCAATTTATATATACTGTTTATTAAAGACTTCTTAATATCAATTTAATATTTTTAGAACAATATTGTAATTCCGATTTAATGATCATTATAAATACTCGTAGTATATAATACCGCTACGATGGCGGGGCCAGGTCAAAGGGATGCGTGGCTAGATAGAGGACTAGCCATTACTGGTCTCAACCTTGGGGCATCAGGGGGCACCCCATTGTATTTACCCCTTACTTCTACATGCGGGGCTCTGTAGAAGTGGACTGACTATCCCTAGCGACTCGTGGGAACACTATGAGATCAAACTATCATAAAAACACCACCGGTGAAGCTGTGGGGAAACCCCCTAGTAACACTGGGAACATTATGAACGAAAGTTCCAAGGGACCAATCCCAAAGGGAACTACAGGAGGGGCGGCTGACACTTGTGCGAGGCCAGCCTCCACAAGTGGTACACAAGCTATCACCTCTTCTAGTAAGGTTCGGGAGTCCACCTCTAGACCTAACAAGCGACACCAGTTACCGTTCCGTCTACCAGGCTTGGGTCAACCAGGCGGGTTAGACGATCCGCTGAGAGTAGGTCTTAGCGGAGCACAAGTACGGAGATACCTCCGGCTGCTCCACGAAGGACTTGCTCCGGAGGAAGCAAAAGCCAAAACTCTCCTTGAAAAAGGAACCAAGAAACAACCTGGCGCATCTCCACCAAAGGGCAAGAGAGGGAGCGAAAACCTCTCCCCTTTGCTCCGTCAAGGAGAGAAAAAAGCCAGGATGGAAAGCCGTCCCACACCGAGAGGCAAGCAGGGACGTATCACTAGCTATGCCGCTATTGCTGGACAAGTGAAAATTGCGGTGCTTCCAAAGGAATATCCTGAGGTTGTACTGACTACCGAGCAGCAAACGGCTCTAGAAGAGGCGATACTGGACGAAGTAGTAGCGAGCGGATTGCGACGCAACGATCCACAAAGTGTGGGTCAGCTGCGCTTTGCGGGGATACACTTTAGGGTGGGCATGATCCTCATAGATTGTGCATCTGAAAAATCGGCGGATTGGTTGGTGGAAACGGCACCTAAGCTTAAAAATTGGCAGGGGCCGGGACTGGTTGCAATGAGGGGAGAAAACATCCCTAAAGGGACAACCATCACGGTCTTTCTGCCAAGAAGCAAGGGGAAAGACACCGCCTACCTGCTAGACCTTATCCAAGCTCAGAACGAGAATGTGAGTACATCGAGCTGGCGAGTCCTCAACTCGAAGGAGGAGGGCCATGGTCAGGTCCTCACAATAGGAATTGACCTCAAATCCAAGGAGGCAATAGAGAAAGAAGGATATAACCTCTATTATAGATTCGGGACGGTACCGGTATCAGGTCCAAGAAAAGAACAAGCTAAAGAGGGGGAGAAAATGGAGACAAATACTCCAGCCTCCAACTCACAAGTACCTCAGCCGGAGACAAGCTCCTCGACTGTGAAGGACACGGTTGGCGTAACTCCAGCCGTGAAAGGGTGTATATCCTCGGAGGAGGTTGATGACCACTCCACGGAGGAGGAACATCTGTTGCCAGGGGGGGATGGGAAATACCCTGTCCTCCCTACAACAGGGGGACCCTTACCTACCCCAGAAACCTGATGCATGGGATATCCCAAATAAACCTGCACCATGCAAAAGGGTCTTCTGCCACAATCACAAGACTCTTTGAGAAAAACCAATATGTAATGGTACTAGCCCAGGAACCCTGGGTGTACCAGGGACAAATTAAAGGGTTGTCTGGAAAAAATTCCAGTGTAATATATGATAACAGGCAGGAACTTCCCCGAGCCTGTATTCTTATAAGAAACAACATTAACTACACATGTGTTTCAGAATTTACAACCCGGGATCTTGTTCCAATCATGGTTCAACTTAATATCGAGGGTTGTAGCAAAAATATCGTGATTGCCTCTGCATACTTTCCGGGTGATGGGCAGACACCGCCTCCGGAAATAGAGGAGCTCGTGCGATTCTGCAGCCAACGGCGACTACCTCTGCTATTGGGATGTGACTCCAATACGCACAATGAGGTATGGGGAAGCACTAATACTAACACTAGAGGTGAGTGTTTACTAGAATTCCTCTTAGCATACAATGTTGAAGTTCTCAATATAGGGAACACCCCCACGTTTGTGACAAAAACGCGGGCGGAAGTATTAAATTTAACAATCGGGAGTGCTAGTGTAACTAGTTACGTGAAAGATTGGAGGGTTTCAACGGAACCTTCCCTATCAGATCACAGAATCATCGAGTTCAAATTAGGAGGAATCATACTCCAAACTGAAATTCGAAGGAATCCAAGAAAAACCGATTGGGAACTATACCACACCAATCTCGTAAACAACCTGGACCAAATAGATGCAGGTAGGGCTAGGAACCACCTGTATCTAGAATGGTACGCAAAGGAAGTCAGTGGTGCAATATTGGATGCATATGAATCTAGTTGCCCCACAGTAAGGGCATACAAAAAGTAACAACAAGCCCTGGTGGAACAAAAAGCTGGCCAATCTTAGATCGGAGGTCCGACGACTCTTCAACAGAGCCAAACCCAGCGGCGAATGGCATCTCTACGCCGAGAAATTAACTGAGTATAATAAGGAGATTAGAAGGGCAAAGCGGTCTGACTTCAGACTTTTGCGAAAACATCACTTTAACTACTTATGCAGCTAGGCTACACAAAGCTATGGCCAAGAGTGGACCCATCCCCAACATGGCACTTAAGAAACCTGACGGAAGCTGCACGGAAGGAGATGAAGAGAGAGCTAACCTCCTACTTCATATACACTTTCCAGGTAGCATATCTATTGATACGCAAGTAGCTCCGACCGAACCCCACAATCCTCGCAGGGAAGACTGGGAGACGGCCAAGCTAGTAATAACAGAACAAAAACTGAAATGGGCTATTGACACCTTTCAGCCTTATAAAACAGCAGGAATAGATGGGATTTTTCCTGCCCTTCTAAAGAAGGGTCAGGAAATAGCTACACTCCATCTATTAAACATTACAAGAAGCAGCTTAGCGATGGGATATATACCAACCATCTGGAGAAGAGCGAAAGTCATGTTTATACCCAAAATAGGCAAAACTGACTGGGCTAACCCCAAATCATTTAGGCCTATTAGTCTCACATCGTTCATATTAAAAACGATGGAGAAAGTAGTCGACAACCATATTAGAGTAAATCATCTACAGGTTAGCCACTGCACGATAGTCAGCATGCATATAGAGCGGGCAGATCCACAGAAACTGCTCTGTACCAGTTAACTGAGCTAATACAGGCAAGCCTGGATAGCAAAGAAACAGCACTTTGTGCCTTCTTGGACATTGCAGGGGCGTTTGACAATATACCTCACAAGGTGGTCAAGCGATCTCTTGAAACAAGAGGGGCGAACAGTACGATAATTCGCTGGTTTTGGGAAATGCTCTCAACACGAACAGCAGAGGCTGAGATAGGTACCAAAACTGTAGTTGTTAAAACAACGCAAGGAACTCCACAAGGTGGAGTGACCTCCCCCCTACTGTGGAGCTTGGTAGTGGATGAACTACTGGAAGAATTAACTCTAGCGGGAATACACTGCATAGGGTACGCAGATGACATAGTCATCATTGCACAGGGGAAACATGAAGGCACCCTGTGTGATATTATCCAAAGAGGATTCCGCATCGCTGAGAGATGGTGCAGGACTGTCGGGCTGAGTATTAACTCAGATAAAACCGCAGTAGTGCCATTCACCAGAAAGCGAAGTTTGAAAAACTTGAAAAGAATCCATCTAGATGGAAAGGAAATACTGCCATCACAGGAAGTGAAATATCTGGGAATAACCCTGGATAGTAAACTTCTCTGGAACAGGCATATTAAGAACATTACCAGCAAAGCCACAAAGGCTCTCATGATATGCAGAAGACTGGCGGGAAATAGGTGGGGCTGCGCCCCTAACATTTTGCGCTGGATGTATACCATGATAGTAAGACCCATGATTACTTATGGAGCAGTTGCTTGGTATACAAAACTAGAGCAACGTACAGCAAGGCAAACCCTGTGCAAAGTACAGAGACTGGCATGTATCTGCATCACAGGTGCCATGAGAACATGTCCAACAGCAGCAATGGAGGTCATTCTAGACCTAACACCACTGCATATTGTCGTCGGTAGTTATGCCAATGCGACAATGATTAGAATGGTCATTGACGGAAACAGTACTGGGAGAATTTTCAGGTCAGGGGCTTGGAACACCCTCAAAAAGAAAATTCCACTTCTCCAACTCCCAGTGGATGACATACCAAGAATTTACAACTTTGAGAAACACCTCACTGTAGTATTGAGTAATAAAAAGGATTGGAAGAAAGAAACGCTTACTCAGCATATAAAAGACCATACCATCACGTGGTATACTGATGCTTCCAAAACCAAAGCAGGGACAGGGATAGGAGTATTTGGGCCGAAAACTGAATACTCCGAACCAATGGGCACCTACCCCAGTATCCTTCAGGCAGAAATTTGCGCTATCGAAAGATGCGTACAATTTATCTTGGATAGGAACTATCGAAAACAGGAAATTGCCATCCTATCCGATAGTCAAGCAGCACTTAACGCGATCAACTCAGTAACCATCAATTCGAAGTTGGTCAAAGAATGCCTAGAGAAGCTCAACAAATTAGGCAAAGAAAATAAAGTCCTCCTACTCTGGGTGCCTGCTCACCAAGGGATAGAAGGCAATGAAAAAGCAAATGATCTAGTAGGAAAGGAGCGAACACTCCACTAACTGGACCAGAACCGTTCTGTTTTCCAAACGGGAACCAACTGAAAGCGGAACTGAAGAATCTGGAAGACTCCATCCGTAACTTGGAATGGGTGTCCTCCAACGGTCTAAGACACTCGAAAAAGTTCCTTAGAACTTATGACCGAGAAAAATCAAAGGTTTTCCTTGATTTAAGTAAAAACAATCTTCGGATTGTCACGGGGTTTCTAACAGGACACTGTCTACTCAACGAACACCTCAGTAGGCTGAAACTGAGAAACAACGGCGAATGCAGATTTTGTGGGGAAAATGGGGAAACACCAGAACACCTTATCACTGAGTGCGCCGAGACGACGACCATTCGTGCCATGAACCTTGGCACGTCTGATGTCGAGGATGGAGAGCTGGCCTCTGTGGAGCCGTCTCAGATACTGGCTTTTCTTAAAGCCCTGAGACTGTATGATGAGTTATAACTCGTTATAACTCAAGAAAGGGGAACACACAATAGATCTATAAGGTCGCGGTGATTAACTCCCCTTCTAAATATTCTACATTCTACATATAATACCGCAATATCGAAAAAAAATGGCGTCCTGTTGCTGACGCCATTGTTTTTATCACATTGAGCAAAGGCCAACAATATTTATTTAGAGTTGCATAAAACACGATTTCGGCTTTTAGTCCGACATTTAATAGTCGGTAATATTATTTTAACAAAAATATTAACATGAAAATTAAATACCTACAGATACTCCCGTACTAAGCAGAGTATAAATAAGTTTTTTCTTGTAAATAACTTTCTTATCGTTTGCATTTTATGCCCATAATGTTTGATAAGGGGTTTTGTTCAAGTCTAAATATTGGTGCCTGCATTTATGCCTATATGTGCCTATATCACCACCGGCGCCGCGCCGTAGAAACGGTCACATTGTGATCCGATTCAATTCTCACGATTCTTTTTGACGGTTCATCGTTCAAATCTTATGGATCCGTGCTGGCCACGATTCAATTGAACGAACCGTATTGTAAGCAATGAATCAATTCTCACTCTTTGAACGCACGATCGCATTGTGATCCGATTCAATTCTCTCGATTCTTTTTTACATCTCATCGTTCAAATGTTATGGATCCGTGCTAGCCACGATTCAATTGCAGTCGTTAGTTATCGGTTTCAGTCAGTCACCGATAACGTTAATTTTTTAATATCTATAGCATGTCCATGAATTGCTGGTATATAGAGAATTTCGTTTCTCCCCTTACCCCTTACGGATACCACGTATTTACAGAACGGATCGACGTATTGTACTCAAGAAACATACGAGCGTTGATTGAAAGAATTGGGTTGGATACGAATAAAGAATCTGCGTGTTTCTACCTATTTCAGATCATTGGGAGTTAGCAGATATTATTGAGTTAAAATAGCAAATTTTCTTTAATTGTAAAAAATTTAGCTGCTAGGATGGACCTTATACAGTATTTTTTTTCTCTTTCTAATGGCATAAAAAAATTTATTATTGTAAAAAATGGAGTTAGCAGGTTATCACGTTTCACTGACGTAGTGACACATACATATAAGATTCGTCGGTCGTGCGTAATTTCCATTGTATGGAATATAACATAATGTTTAAATTTTGATTCAAAAGAAGTGAGACAAGAGACAACTTGGAGAGTCCGGAATAAGAGAGAGGAGACCCGGTGGATTTTTTTATCCCCAAAATCCCGATATTAAACACCGGAGTCACGAAAATCTCGAAAAATTTAAATGCCCAATCAAAAACGATTCGACTTTATAAACTTTATTTAGTCTTTCAAAGATCATATTTTATTTATACTAGAGCAAAATAAAACCACTAATTTACCACAATACCCCAAAACACTTTACTTGTAAACTGGACGCGCGTTTTGTTTGATTTGGTTTAAGCTAACCATGTCAGTTTTTTGCCGTTGTAACATCAAAGGTTCCAACCCTCAACTGCAATTATTTATACTAAGCAAAAAGTCAATATCTAAAAGTTATATTTTCTTGTTAAATACAAGAATTGTATTTTTTTACTTACTAAATATGAATGTTACTTTTTTGTCTATTTTAATAAAGCTCTTTTCTCATTTTTTTATATATGTGGCTGCATTTTTATTTAGTATTTCTTTAGATTAAATTTCTCATTAGGGATCCCGATCTCGAAAATTGGAAACATTGGAAACAAACACGTAACGTAACGAAAAACGCAAATAAGAAGAAGTAAAAGAAAAACAAAACAACAAACAACAGAAACAAAAAACAAGTAGAAGAACTAACAAACAAGTAGCATATTAGTAGTTATTTATGTTAAATAGATACTACTATTACTATTAAACACTCGAAAAAAAACTTTTTATCTACCTCATTAAGGCATGATGGGTCAATTTTGGATTCTTCAGTATCAATATCAGGTATATGTTTAGGTTCATACAGCTCATCCGGTACTTCTACTTTAATATGAACTGATGGATCATCTAAAAACAACAACAAGATACACATATTAGTAATAAATCATGATACAAGAAAACAAATATTTTCTTTGTAACATGGTAAAAAATCGTGTTGTACAATAATGTCAAAAATGCTTTAAACAAGAAAGGGCATGTGGGTTATATTTTTGAAATAAGAAAGAAATGTGCAATCTAATATACAGGGTGTCCCATTTAAAAAATATACTTTTTACAAATATATGTGACATTTGTCAGTTTGTGGCATTTTTGGTAATAAGTGATAAATCTTGATTAAAAACACTATAATTAGCTATTTTAATGAATGCTATAATCCAAAAATAACACAGTTAGTCAGCGTGGAACAAAATAAAATGAAAGCAGTAGACAATTTTATAGTTATAAACAATGCTGAAATCTCAAAAGTTAATTTAAATAAAGTTTAGAAATAAACGAAACTGAAACGTTAGAAAACCGTTAATACATTTCGAAATATGTTTAAATTTGCAACTCAAAATACTAATTGATACTTTACCAGTAAACTGTGCAGGATCCACTAAATCTGGATCGTCTATTTCTGCTTCTGAAAAAATAAGAAAAAAAGATAATGAATATCATAATGCATAACACAAACACCATACAGGGTGTTCCGATATTCCGTTGGTATAACTACTACGTATTTTTGGAGTCAAAATAAGTTAATTGGACACAATTTATTTCTATATAAAAGTGCTTCGTTTGTCCGTTAGAGAGTATCAAATTTTAATAAACCTAAAGTCCCTAAATAAACCCAAACGTTAATTCCAAATTTATGAAGCTTATTGCCAAAAATCTTTGGCCAAAAATTTCCAATCAATCTTCCCGGGAAATGATTTGATTCTTTCTATTATATTTATACTAGTTGAAGCCTGACGCATCCGCCACGACATCGACATCGACATCAGGAAAAAAAAATACTTTTTATTTTTTTTTAATTAAATGAAAAACAAAAAATCCGGCGACGACAGTTTTTATAGAGCCAATTTGCTATCTTTTAGTAAAAAAAGCAACTTTCTAGAGCAAGTCGTTACTTCAGTAGAAACGACACAGATAAGCATTTTATATACTATACAGGTTGTTAACTCGACAGTTACTTATAGGGAAACAGAATGGCAACACTGCCTATTGAGAACGCATGCATTATTGATTTTTCTGCCGACTCGTCCCGTCGCGTCGTCTATCGACGAGCGGGCCTCTTCGGCGAGCGGCAACCTCGGCAGGTTGCCGTATTTCAACCTTAAAGCTCTTGCCGCGAGTAATGAACAACTTAACAACCTGTATATGTATGTAGATTATTTTTATTATTTTATTGCATTTGATTTTCCGTATTCAATGTTTTACCCCACGTCATTGTTACGTTTGAAAGCTTATCAGTATTGTAACGATGTATAGATTAAATATTTAAAAAAAACAGAGCCGGACTTAAAATTACTTTAAATAAATTGTGTTCAAATGTCCGAAAGAAAAAAAATGTTGTTTGGTATATCATTGTACTCAGGAGACCGAGTTTTTTCAAAACCCGAAATAAAAAATGCATGTCCGTATTTAAAAAAATTAAGTTGGCCTCTGTATCTCACAAATTATCAGCTAATTTGAAAATCTAAAAACACTATGTAGCCCTAATAAAGTGGCTATAATTTTTCGATTTTCTAAAAAGTAATGACGGGAAAAAATAAAATTGATTTTTCAAAAAAATCCGTTTTTTCCAAAAACTCAGCAATCCTTGAAATTTTTAAAACTTTTTTGATGGCATCTTGGTGAACATCCTAAAGCGCAAATTGGCTCCAATTTAACCATATTCGATGTTCGTATCTATTGCGGTTACCGAGATACCAATGCTCGTACATCGAATTTGTAGCACCCTGTATACTCGCTAGGCATACCATATTGTATATTAAAGAATAAGTTGCGTATAGTTCATTGATTTCTAAGCAATAGTTCATTAATTGTCTAAGAGCAATACACAGGGTATTTCTGAATAAGTGTCCGATATGTCACAGGGTGATTTCTCAGTATTTTTATTGTAAAAAGAATGCTTCGTTTTCGAGATACAGGGTGTCAGAGTTTTGATTTGGAATTGTTTTGATAAACAAACGATACAGTCTGTTCACCGTTAAAGGAACAAATTATGTCTCTTGTTTTTTTTGTTAAGCGCACGGATTTCGAGAAAAAAATAAAAATAATTTTAATGCATGGCGAAATTGCTAAAATCTAATATGGTGGTTTCTATGTAAAATTTGTTAACGAATAAAACGTTACGAACGAAGTGTACCAAATTTCATAAAAATGACGGGAGTGGCTCCGAAGATAAATAACAATATTTTTCTTAAAAACACTCATCTGTATCTCTGTATCTTTCTTTGACACTCATCTGTATCTCAAAAACGAAACATTTTAGAACACATGTTGATATGAACATTTTACCTTAAAAATACTCTAAAAATCACCCTGTGACGTCTTATTTAGACACAATCTGTATTATAACAAAATCTTCTTGAAGGGGGAAAAGTTATTTAAAATACTATATAAAATTTCTTACTTATTTCCGCCACATTGACTAATTCTGGTGCATCTGCAATCGGATCAGCTAAAAATGAAAAGAAAAATATGAAAGAATAAAAAATAAAATAACTATATATATTCGACATCAATTAAACAGACAGAATAACTGGAATTTAAATTTCCCGCTGGGAATTCAGCTGATAGCTCAATCTGCTGTAATAAATATCAAGTTGCCACATTTATTTATTTATTTCCTGACATTGTCATTCGTTTTGACACTTTCGTTTTGTATTACGAGTTTTTGGTTTAAATAAATAGTGTTGTGATACTTTAAGCTTATAAATGTTTACAAGCAGACCTTGCAGTCGAACATTGTTCTTTTTAGAACCTCTTTTAGTGCGAAGTGTACAAGATAGCTTAATTGCCGTAAAAAACTCATTGCAATTTTATTAGAATATTTTGAAAGGTGAAGCGTTAGTAATGGCCCATAAGTCACAAATTAACTACAACAGATGCGAAAGAACACCGAATTCCGCGTTTCGGTTTCTGTGACCTTCAGAAAGAGTTCATAGACAATCCGCATCAATGTATAGTTTGCGTTATTATTTGTTTGGGTTAAAATAATCTGCACCAATATGTGAACGAGGCATATAATCTCACAGTAATTTAATAGATTGCTCGTCATATATCAGTTCGTAGGAAATTAGGGAAAAAAAAGATATTTATAGTATAAAAACATTAATTTATTTAACAAAATTTAATTAAAGATGTGACAAAATAGTTACTTTTCTATTGGTTCTATCGGACTTTTTTTGACTATATAAATCTTTATTTGTAAACTTTAATGCATAAAATATTTTCAATCTAATAAATAATTTAATGATGTAAAAAGAGGAAATTTCTCACATGGGTGGTCAAATTCTATAGTTTTCATTATATCAAACAGCCTCTGAGAAATGTTTTCTTCAGTGCAAAACTCATCAACATTTAATGTAAATAATTTTTCCAGCCTGTAAATAAAATAAACAAATTTTTCATTTGGCGATTTTAAACTCCCATAAGTGCCACTTTCATGATTAAAGGCTTTTAAATGGGTAAATAATTTCGAGTTATCCAGAGATTCGGATTCTTTTGCAAATTTTAGACAAATATCACATTGACGTATTTGAAGACCCTTTTTAATGATGTAGCCACAGACATAATTAAAGGCATTTTGAGTTGTTATACTTTCATGCCTATAATCATAATCTGGTAAAGTTATTGCCTGATGTTTTTTTAATGGTGCCACATTTTTTAATAAAATTCTGGACTTTTTGACGGACTTTAATTGTGTTAATAAAATACCCAAGTCATCGAAACAATTCATAAAGGAAGAATGCAAAAAAGTTTGACAAAATAGTTTCCTAAATGCCCTTTGGAATTCTATAGGTGTTGGATTTACAGAATTACCTTGTTGCTGTCTAACGCTGCCAAAATAATTTTCTAAGCAATCTTGGTTAATTCTCCTTGTTTTTAAATAGGTAAATCCAATAGAAGAAAGTCGATGCCAGAGAATTTGAATGGACTTTATTGTGATCATCCAGCACGTACGAAACTTGCATTTTAAAGTTATATCTATATTATTGTTATTAAAAATTTTTAAGTTTGCTAGAAATAAACCCATTTCATTTAAATATTCATTTTGAAAATCTAAGCCTTTAAAGACAGTTTTGTACGGATTAGGGTGATTAAAATCCACTGCATTTAGTAAATCAAACATTTTATCAAAATTTTCAACTACCTCAAGAGTGGCTTGTGCTTCAGCAGGAAGTACACCCAGAGTCATATGCGTCTGTAACCTAATGGCTACCGTTCTGCTAATTACTTGCGTAGCAAGCTTAACTTTCATTTTTTGAAAGTTGTTTGGATAGATGTGAGCATCCGTGAGCTTGGGTGCACATCTATATTGTTGCTTTTTATCATTATTATAAAAAGTTTCTATAAATTTCCAAGATGTCTTTTTATTGTCGACACAGAATACATTTTGCATAAGATTATTTTTGTGGCCTTAATAAGATGAGGAGTGTCAAAAAAATATGTGAGTTTATAATCACCAACATTAAATTCTGGATTGTCAGTAGTGACATTTAACAATTTTGAAATTTGTATAAAATTTGACCCCATATCAGTTACAATACCTTGAACATATAGTCCAACATCTGATAATTTATTTACACATTCCTTAAGAATTTCTAAAATATCTGCTGACTTAAGATTGGTGTTTAAAAAAAAAGACGCGATCGGTTGTTTCCAATTATGGAATAAACCTCTGGCCATAATTACAGCCACGATCTGAGCTATAAGGGACGATTTTCTTTCCTTAGTTCCAATATCATGAAGTCCAATAATTTGATCTCGACCAGTGTCAAAATATAGATTTGATTTAAGAGAGGTTTCATCTATGCATATATTGCAATGTTTGTCTAACTCCGACATAGTTTTAACTATAAGACTCAGAGAGTTGAAAATATGATCATTACCTAAACCTGGTTTGCAAATAAAATTTTGAGTTATTAGTTCTAAGCTGCGCTTCGTTGGTAAAATTAAAAGTTTCTCTAAAAATTTATATGTTTTTGGACCTAAAAAGCACAATGTAAGGGCAAATTTCTTATATTCTTCATTATACCTTCTTGCTTTAGCAACTTTATTTTTAAGAAGTGCTTGTAATTTAACGATTTCGGCTAAAGGTTTATTCAGAAATTTGTTGCACAACTTATTGAAATTTAATAAGGACGATTTTCCCCTATTTTCGGTAATGGACTGGTTTTTGGCAAATATTAACTTTTTTCTTAAAAAATGGACCTTACATTTTAATTTACTTTTCCGAGGAGTGTTAGATGTCAAAGTCGACGGCGTTTGAGTAGACATCGGCGATATCAAAGGAGATGCAGCAAGACAAGTGGATCCAGTATCAATGCTTAATTCACCTGAAGGAAAAAATATTTATTAATTTGCAATGACCGTAATAATTCTACAGGGATGCCAAAAATTATATTAATAAAGTTGTTGGCCATGGAATGGAAAACGTCTTAGATTTGATAAAATTTGATATCAGCATGACATTTAAGGTAATTAAACCTGAAAATGTAAAAAAAGACCTAAGGTAAGGCAGACGTTTTCTAATCCATTGCCAGGGCCGGCGAAAACGGTAAGTATTGTGTATAGCACAAATTAACTATTATTGTTATAATTGACAAGTTATTTTTGGTACGGACTATAAAAACAAACCCATTATGTATGTTTAGTTATGCTAATTGTAACTAATACTTAAAAATATACTTACTAGTTACCATTTCCTCGGAGATATTGGTAACATATTCTTTATCGGGCGTAACCCCGAAAGGTCGTTGAAGGACATCCAGAGGTATATCTAAAAAGAAACACACATTTTTAAAATATAATATTAAGTGCGCAAAATCAGCATTTTTTTTAATGGCATAAGTTTATTTTAGGCGAGACCGATAAGTCGAGGCACAAAATGAATATTGACAATAATAAGTTCATTTTGACGCATTGAATATTAAAATTTAAAATAAAAGAATAGGTAATAGCTATTTTTGGCGGAGACGATTCGGAACTAATCCTGAACGCTAAAGCTGCGGCCATTAAGTGGCAGTTGTGTCATAGTAAATTGAGTTGACAGTTTTAGTTGACCTTGCCCATACCTTGCCTTAGTGTTCAGAATTAGTTCCGGATCGTCTCCGCGAAAATAGCTAATACTATTAAGAAAATAAATCACCATCATGGTAACTTTTTTCACCTGTTGAAAAAAACCTATTTTGCGTATCATAACAATATAAAAATGTAAAATAAAAACACTAAATCACCACAATACACCAAAACACTTTTACTTTTACACTGGACGCGCGTTTCGCTAACCATGTTAGCATCATCAGCAGATGATTATAAACTAAAATATAATGTGTTTTTTTAACGTTTGTAGAAAAATAATATTACCTGTCACAACAGCTACCTATTACTACCTACTTACCTGACAAAACTGTAATCTTTTCAGGGGGCTCTTCAAAAATATCCTCATTTCTTGATGACGATGGTTTGAGAAATTTTGTCGGCACAGCAGTATCATACAATCGTTTAAAACCAGATGACGAGACCGAAATAAATTTGGTTTCAAAGTGATCTTCGCACAATTTATAATTTTTTAAATTTTTTTCCTGAAGATCTTCTCTTCCAGCAGCCTTAAGCCAGGCCTTTGCTCTAAAAAAATATTTTTAGATGAAAATAAGAACGTATTTTGAAATATACTGGTTTTGATTTAATTTAAAATTTACAGAGATTTTAACATGTTGAAGAAATATATTTAACAATATACGTGTATTTAACAATAACAACGACATTTAAATTTTCGGCACACTTTCAGTTAATAGAAAGTAATAGAAATTACGAGACTTTTCTAGTCAAAGGTTCCAAAAAAACCTTGGCGCCGCTACCCTAATAAAACCAAACCAATAATAACGTTATAGGCCCTAAGTTGTAAAAATTATTAGCCGGTTTGAGATTTACAAAGGGCTAATAATGCATTTATGGTATATGGCAGACAAACTTACTTAAATTGTCGCGTTTGTACCTACATACACCGAATAATAATATAACAAGAAGGGTAAGCCGGCGTTCTAGCTTTCATGTGGCGTTTACAAAGACGAGCCGCGGCGGTAGCAAAAAATTTTATGGTCGTATGCAGCCGCTGGGTCGAGCGTTCGAATACGGGGTTTCTTCACAAATAAATGCGGCGCGGCGGATGGAATTAAATGTAAATAGTATAAAGTCTGGTCGGTATTTGAAATAGGATAACGTATAATAAACAAACATATTATGTTACATAAATATATTAATTGTGTATATTTATTTACACAGAACAAAAACTAAAATAACAAACTTAATGACCTAAAAAAGCACAATCCGAGGCAAAATAATCTAAAAATTTTAACTTTTGAACAAAAAATAAACGTTTTTTATTAAAATAAATAGACAAATAAAAACATTTTTTTTAAAAAGAACATAACGTCAAGATGGATGATCTTAATTTAGTAAATTTTTACCAATAGAGCTAGGTAACAAGTTTAATAAATATACTCCGTACAAAAAAACACACCGATTTCAAATAAGAGCTTCCGCTAAAAAACATAGCCACGTGGAAATAACGTAAAATAGGGCGGGATTTAGAGTGACTCTTCTTGCTATATTATTATTCGGTGCTACATATTATGTAGTCTAATAAAAATAAAAAACTACCTAAAGAAAAAGCCACAAAAAACTGAAAGACAAAAACGAGTCAATCCACAAAAGGCGATTTGTCATTTGTCAACCACGCCAAAGTTGACAGAATTAAAAACCACACTATCATTTTAGAGTGAGTAGGGGGAGTGCAGACGCCGATGATTAGACCAGATGTTTAAAAACCTACTGCCTTACTTACACTGCCCTAAACTTACATTGTTTAGGTAGACAGACGTCTGCAAAAGCTATATAAATTTATGATCAAAATTCCCAAAGGTAATAGTAAAACTTATCAATTAGAATTATATTGTAGGGTCGTTTATGACCTCAGAGGTATGAAGGTTTTTATTTGAGATGGGACATTCCTAAACTAATATTACAAATTTAATTAAAATGAGGACGGGATTATAACACTACGTCTGCCGTAAAATATCACGTTCTTAATGTAAAAAAACAGAGCGTACGTGTCGATTCTAACTTCGTCAAGCGATGAGTCACGTATATTCGTGGCTTTATCATAATTTATGAACAGATCTTAAAAATAAAAGGAACGTAGTTTTATTTAAAATAATGTTGCATGCAATGCAGGCAAGCCGGCAAGAATAAAGACACACCTGTTTTTGGGGTTTAAAATACAAACTCCAGCAAAAGAGCATTTCATTTTTCTATTTTTGTTCATTTAAATCGAATGTACTTAGATATTTTATCAGTTTGAAAATACTAAATTACAATAATTCCTATTACAAAAGGGCGAATAATACCTAATACCTACTTATTAATAATTTTTCCTTACCTTAACTTATCCTCTGGGAACCTAAAAAGTGATTTTCCTCCTCCGGTTTTTGTAGAACAGTATAAATAAACACATTTGTATCCCATTTTAAATATACAAATTACCAAAACTTAGAAATAACAGTTCGAAAGTTCAACAAAAATCCTACACGCGTTTTTAAAAACGAACATATAACCACGCACTATGTCACACCAGCGAGCTTCAGCAAATGAATACGACACAGCAAGGGCTTCCGGACTAAACGACTGGTGTATTTACACCACTCAATAGGCGTGTCGGGTTTGCCGAGCGGTTTCCGATGCAGTCGCTTTCTTTCGCATCTGTAATAGGTAATTTGTTTAAGTGCTCTGAAGAAGTTGAGTTTTGTTAATATAATAACTGTTTATGTATTTATAATTAATTTATTTTTGTTCCCTAAAATATTTTGATTAAGAGAAAATATGTAAAAGTAGACAACGCTGTACCAGTCAAGCTTAATCACGCGACTAAAGTTTATTTGATATGAACTATACATATAAATTACTACCTGTTCGTATGTTGTTCACATTACCTAGGTCGGGATCGTCTTGAGAATCGACGCTGTCCTGAGATTCAGCGCTCTCTTGAGATTCAGCGCTCTCTTGAGATTCAACGCCTGAAAAGAAAAAAAAATATATGAAAACGAAGAAAATGTAAAAATAGAGGATCTGGGTTCGAAAATATGATATTTATTAATACAGAGTGATATTTATTTATACAGAGTTATAAACTGAAACAGTAAACTAATAACAGTTATAATCATCTGCTGATGATGCTAACATGGTTAGCGAAACGCGCGTCCAGTGTAAAAGTAAAAGTGTTTTGGTGTATTGTGGTGATTTAGTGTTTTTATTTTGCTGTGTAACACCAAAGGTTCCAACCCTCAACTGTAAACTTATTTAAGACTCATTATAATTATCATATCACACGATATATATCATTTTCAAAATTTTATTATTGGGTAAAAAAATAACGGTGTTTTACGTATAAATTATATTTTAACACAAGTACATTAACAAACTTACATTTTAAGCGTCTTTTATTTTACCTCTAATTAATCTGACCAAGAAAAATACATTTAAAAATACACAAATTATTATATTGTTTTATTAACACTGATATTGGCATATTCTCTCATCTGATGAACTCTATTAATATCAATAATGTTATTACTATCAGTGACACCAACTTCAGAACCTTCATATATGGGTGGTTCCCCAATAAGACATATTTACACAATTAGCTGTTACTAGGCACTATTGTAAACTAAGTTAAGGAAGAATAATAACTTAACTAATACAATAATTATGAGTCATATGTTGTACAATCTAAGTACAATGTGCTAGTTTTTTCTTTTTATATGTTTTTTTTTCAGGGCGAGTATACCCAATTTCTTTAATAGAGATATAATGCTCGTTGAAGGCGCATCAAAACTAGCTAGTAATTCACAGGGCTTCTTCAAATACGCCTCTTTTCCTGTTTAATGGGTAAATTGCGCTGAGGTACAGTGGCTTCTCTTTTGCGATCAGGTTGGCAGTCAAACTTATGTGGTCTAATATGCGGCTTTAGCGATATATTCCCACCTACCACCTACCTATACTGTAGATAAATAATTTGCCATATCTTCTTCTGTAAAACTGTAAAAAAATAAAACATTTTATAGGGTACACTTTGATAATACAGTACAAACTCTTTAATCGGAACACACGTTAAGGCCGGGACACACCTATCATGTACGTTTCCGATCCGGCTCTGGCACGATTTTGCCCCAGAAGCGGATCGCTGTGGGATCGGAAATGGTGAGTACACACATGTCATACATGCTTCCGACTCCTTCACGATTTCGGGCTTCGGCTGGATATAATCGCCAGTCTTGATTCAACAGTCATCGCAGTTGTGTGCGCAAAATGTTTAATAATTTTAGCAACAGTGATTTAGCCATGGTGGCACTTTGTTTGGAAGAAGAAGATGAGGAAAATGAGAAAGCTTTTATAGAAAACAGCCAAAAACGCAGATTTTGGGTACATCCTACTTGGAAAAGAAGATCTGCAGAAGGGGAGTATGTACGAACCTACACAGAAAAATAAAACACCATCAAATTAAAATGTCTGTTTTTTGTTTAGAAATTGATAATGCAAGTTATTTTAAAACGTTTGCCGCCATATTTAATAGTCTTACATTCGACATTTAATTCCTTTGCAACTTTCTTCCAGACCATGTCTTTGTAGTCGGAGTTTCGGTACTGCTCTTTGGTCTGGCCATACAGCACTGAATATTTCCGCACTTCTTCAATTAGTTCCTCCGGTTTTATTGTTGATATGTTTTATTATTTTAGTAAAAAACTAAAAATAAGATAGCAAATACAAAAATAAACAAAATAGTTCAAAACGACACTCGTCCCACAGCCAGCATAGACGAATAGACTGACAATCGGAACACGAACGGATGCAGGAACGGAGTCGAATAGGAGCGAGGATGAATCACTTATCGGAAAGGTGTAAACTGCGCTTGTTAAAATAACGTACGATTTCCCTCTCATACAGTCGTCCGACTGTATGATCGGAGCCGGATCAAAACGTGCATGATAGGTGTGTCCCGGCCTTTAATCGTTCACCAAAAGCTCTAAAAATAAGCGACACGGAAAAATGTTCAGTTGCAATATCTTAGCGGATTCTAGTGGTTTCTCCCCTTATTTTATTCTGGCGCGCTTGAGTAAATCCCAAAATCCTCGCTTGGCCTCTGCTACCTTTATAATGCAAAATTGGTCGAGTTTCCAGTCCTTTTCGTAGTTTGCTGTTTTTCTTTTGGCACTGAGAGCAAAGACGCAAGTACAGCATTATTGTCTCTTTGGTAACGTTGCAGTACTGTTTGCTGATTTCAGCACCCATACGATTCCTTCCACCATGGTTTATGGCTAAATGTGCGTTATGGATTATTTCGAATAAATCTTCTTTTCTAGCATAAAATACAACTTGAGAATCGAGTGATTCCGCAATGGGTTTAATTAATAGCTCCCTTTGATTTATTGTTATAACGTCATATTTTCGTACAATTCTGTAATGTTTAACGGATTTTTTTGTTTTCCCGGTAGATAACACAAGCTTCGCGTTCTTCACTTCGCTAATTTTAATTTCGTATTCGCTCGCGCTTAGAAATGCGTTATTATCGTCCCGTTTCAATTTAATAAGCGTCTCTAGATTTTCTACAAACTTGTTTCTCAAATCGTTGACTTCCATTATTAAAAACGATTAAGCTAAACTACACTATGTAAATACAAGAGAAAATAAACAAAAACACAATATTATTCAGGACCGCACGCATTAAAACAGACTACGTCGACGCCCGAGCAAAGTTGCTAAATCGACTAGTTTGTCGTTTGTCTGCAGCTTATCGATACCGTCTCCTATGGATTTTCACGTTAATGGCCGCTCACCAGAGTTGCCAGATGTCCCGCTATTTAAGTAAATTGTCCCGCAATTTCACTACCCTCTTTTTCACTACCTATCCTTAAAAAGTATTTTTTTAACCAAACATATTATTATTAGTAGTAATTAGCATACCGGGTGTTTTTCAAAAGTATCAACCCCCTATAACTTTTTTATTATTTCAGATAAAAAACGAGATTTGGTATGTTAGTATATGATATAAATCAGCATTGATTGACGTATTCAATTAGTTTCGGCCATTTCCTGTTTCACTAGAAATGACTGTAACTTTTGATTTTTTATGATACCCTCATTTTTTACTTTATTTCATAGAAAATTACATTCTGAATAAAATGACATAATGATATATCATAGGTATATCAAGTTTTGACATTTTCAATTAATTCTTTTTCCAAATATGCTAATGAGTCGTATTTGTTTCATTTGAAAAAATTGAGTTATAGCACAGTTATAGTTAAAAATACGATTTGGTCATCTTTTAAGCTGCCAGGAAAAGACAAGAAAACCTTAGACGGTCAAATCTATTTTTCCAAGGCTTCTCAATTAAAAATTAGTGGTTTTAACTCAACAATGGCACTCTACAGTATGTCCCCGGATTGTCTTTACAAGAGGAAAAACTATTTTTTGAGAAAAAAACGTTCTTCATAAATATGTTTGCTTGTTCTAAAATAATCCCATTTATACTTTTACAAATTTCCATACCGTTTTAGAGAAAATTAAAGTTAATTAAAAGTTATTTGTTTTTTATTACTTAGGGCACACACCCTAAAATACGAGTATATATACAGGGTGAGTCTTAAATAAGTGCAAATATTTTCAGGGCTGATAGATCTCGATAAAAAAAACATAATTTCTCTTTACCATTTTCAAATAAGTCGAAAATAACCGAGTTATTAAGTTTGAAAATTTAAAAAAACATTTTTTTTGGAAAAATTTTGAGAGCCACCGGATTTTTTCTGTATTTGCATCAGTGCCGTAACAATAGAGTAAAGCCGTAACTATGGTAATATCAGAGATTAAGAAATTATACCGTGCGAAAATTAGCGGTGAACAGGCAGTTCTAAAAAGTTTTCGAAAAATACACAGGGAAATTTAAAAGAAAATGCACGTTTTTGAACATCTTTTTTTTGCAAAAAAAAACTCATAGACGTGTTCCTGGGGTCAAAATATACCACCCCTAAAAATATTTGCAATTATTTAAGACTCGTCCTGTATGTATATTTTTTAAATAAAATAACTCTCAGATTTTTCCAGTTTTATACAGTTATTATTAAAATTTTAAATATATCTCTGAAATATATTAATTTCTCGCTTTGCATTTCAATTGTACCAATTTATTTCTTTATAAAATAAAATAAACTACTTTGAAATTAAAATGACAAACACATCTATCACTGTCAAAGATCTAATCGTTGGACAGACTATATGTAGACGATTAGAATACTTACATGCGACATTTTTTGTCAGCGCCATATTTACTTGTACCGATTTACTTTAAAAATGTAAAATTTTTGTTTCAGATGCAACATGAACCTTCTGCAAATCGTTGTCATCCCTATGCTGTTTCGGGGGCTCAATTCCAGTTTCTGTTTGCTCATTGTTTTCAGTTTTATTAGTTTCAGTAAAAACAGCAACATTTGCTTTTCTTTGTCTTTTTTTACTAAGACTGGGCTTAATTTCAGTTTCTGCTTGCTCATTGTTTTCAGTTTTATTAGTTTCAGTAAAAACAGCAACTTCTCCTTTTCTTTGTCTTTTTTTACTAAGACTGGGCTTAATTTCAATTTCTGTATGCTCATTGTTTTCAGTTGTATTAGTTTCAGTAAAAACAGCAACTTCTGCTTTTCTTTATCTTTTTTTACTAAGACTGGGGTTAATTTCAGTTTATGTTTGCTCATTGTTTTCAGTTTTATTAGTTTCAGTAAAAACAGCAACTTCTGCTTTTCTTTGTCTTTTTTTACTAAGACTGGGCTTAATTTCAGTTTCTGTTTGCTCATTGTTTTCAGTTTTATTAGTTTCGGTAAAAACAGCAACTTCTGCTTTTCTTTGTCTTTTTTTACTAAGACTGGGCTTAATTTCAGTTTCTGTTTGCTCATTGTTTTCAGTTTTATTAGTTTCGGCAAAAACAGCAACTTCTGCTTTTCTTTGTCTTTTTTTACTAAGACTGGGCTTAATTTCAGTTTCTGTTTGCTCATTGTTTTCAGTTTTATTAGTTTCGGTAAAAACCGCAACTTCTGCTTTTCTTTATCTTTTTTTATTAAGACTGGGCTTTATTAATGACGTCAGTTTATCTATTTGACATCTGAAAATATATGGCACGTCTTTCTTCATTCGAACTTTTACTTTACTTAATCGATATTCCATATAGTTGTCCATATCTTTGTCAAGCTATAAAAAAATATACCGGTTGTTTTTTAAAAGAGGCTCACCCCTGTAACTTTTCTATTTTTTCACGTAAAAAAGGGAGATTTGGTATGGTAGCATATGACAGGATTGATTGACGTTTTCAATAACTTACGGTCACTTCCTGTTTCACTGGAAATGACTACGACTTTTGATTTTTAGCCCTCGGTATTTTTTTACTTTATTTCATAGAAAATAATATTCTGAAAAGAATGATATAACATGTCAACTTATAAATTTTCTCTTAAAAAGAATTGTATTTTAAATTTCAATTTAGAGTGTCACGAAAATAAATATAACGACAATTTGACTCGAAATACGAAGTACCTATTTGGTATCAAATTATTCGTAAGAAAAGTTTTGATATTGACTTTCGTTCCATTTGAAAAAAATGAGTTATAATTAAAAATACGATTTGGTCATATTTAACCGGCCAGGAAAAGACACGAAAAACATTTGACGATCATCTATTCTTCCAAGTTCCAAGACTCCTTGATTAAAATGGCATTCTAGGAGTGAACACATAGGAGTGAATCGCCGACCCAAGGTTTCGCTTGCCAGCAGGGTATATTTAACACATACATAATATTTATAGCTATATTTTTTTATTTTTTTTTATTAAGTTTTGTGTTAATATGTAAGTATTAAGCGTTTAGACTCTTAGGTGATCGTAATTTACGATTAAAATAATATTTTATGTGTTTTTTAATTTTATTAATAAAACAAATATTTACCTCTACGTGTTGTTTCAATTTGGGCCCAGATTATTCAGTTGCTTATATCGTAATTATTGATTTGAAAAATCAAACATCCCTTAACTTTAACAATGGTAATAAATGAAAGGGTAAATTTTTAATACATGGCTCAACCAATTAAGGAGGGCGGATTTTCTAATAACAAATCGATAATTACGAATTAAGGAACTGGATAATCTGGACGATGTCCATTTTTATTTATTAGTAATGTAAAATTACAATTAGTTATATAAAATAATATATTAGAATGTGAAATTTTAAACAAAATGTTACATAAAACTATGGAAAATATTACCAATTAATATGTAATTTAGTTCACAATTTTATGTAACATATTCCATATTTTTAATTAATACTAGTTACAGAAGTTTGTGAAAATTTACACAGAAAATTGAAATCTTTTTCTAAGCTATGGGGAAATTAAAATAAATTTTGTTGCACATCATAATACGACCACCAGCAAACTCCATAAGACGACGCATGGTGTCACTGATGACGTGCAACGAAAGTTGTTCTGAGTCACAAATGGACTCACGATATGTTTACCTGTGAAAAGCTGGTGTTTAAATAAATGAGGAACAACATTATTTTTCAGTAAAACCTTTCCACCAACCAGCTTATATCGCATATAGTTTTCTATATCTTCTGTCACCTAAAATATAGGATAAACACAAATAAAAATAGTACACAATGTTTCTACTCTAGTTTAAAGTACATAACTGAATAATCTAGACTAAATAAGGTTTCCATTGGCATTTTATTGACAAAGTTTTATCTCTTAAAGGATAATCCAATTCTGATGTAATTTGCAACGTATGCACTACAAAGTACAAATCTTAGTACTGGTCACAAAGGTAAAAGGATATACGAAAAGTGTTAACTTTTTGAACTGCTTTTAAGTCTTCCCATTTAACTCTGTCCGTCTGTCTACCGTGTCAGGGAAGATTATCGTCAGACGACATCCAAACAATTACCAGAGGCGGAGGAGGTAGTTAGGTAGTTACTGGAGCTCAGTTGAATACTAATCCAGTCTTAGTAATCAACACCTAATTTTTTTTTAAACAAAAGCTTTTATTAATCCGCTGTATTGATATATTGTTCTTTTGAAGCCTTTGTCAAATTATTATTTATTTTATAAAAACTAAGATATTACAATGTTAAAATCTACTTTTCATGTTTTGGCATTAGCAAAATTCCTCACAATATCACTGGTTTTAATTTTGATTTCATCTTCAATACTGATTGGAGACAAGTTAGTTAATTTATTTTGCGATCTATTTAAATATAATATCTGTCAATTTACGTCAATTCAACAATATACGCTAATATACGGCGTTATGGCCTTGAATACGCGAAAATTCATACGTCAAAAATTTTAGCCAATAGAATTGCTGGAGATCGATACGCTGATCCGCCGTTCTGCTTTTCCTACGCGGACGCACAGAGGTCAGTATTGCAGAGAATACATGTTTTGGAAAGTTGAAAGTTGAAACGTATATTTTTTGAATGATAGTTGGAAAGTGATGTAGATTATATAAGCAAAATAAATTAATCGTACTTTTATACAGGGTGTTTGTTTAAATAAGTCAGTAATATAATGGATGTTCCTAAACGACATGTTAGTATTCAGGAGTTGATTCTTTGACCCATGTTAAGAAAAAAACTTCATATGAATGTACATATATATATACATACTGCCATTACTCGCTGACGAGTATTTGACACGCATCAGAAGATGGTCACGCAAGGCGTTTTCTTTCATGAGCTTTTCTGTGACTGAAAAGCCCAATACGTGATGTTATTTGTCTACCGCACTCCGGACATTCAAAAATCTCATTGCTTTGCTGCCTCTTAACTTTTTGGTTCTCGCTGTTAACTGAGTTTACAATTCTTCTCCATTGAGTTCTATTGTGAGCTGCTACTTCCCACTCATTCTGCACATATGAATGTATATCTTAAACGTCATAACTTTATACAGGGTGGCAAAGTTTTCCGAAAAGAACATAAATATTAAAATAAAAAAAATATATTTTAGGTCGCCCTCCTGTATGTCAAGACATGTGTATGTTTATCTTCAAAAGGACTGCCTTCATACCAAATGGAAAACAAATATTTTTTATTTATTGACATTGTCTCTAAAAATCATATTTGAAGTTTGTGGCATTAGTATTTAGATAAAAGGATTACTCATAATAAAAACGTCTTTCGAAAATAAATATGAATAAATCCTGTATTTGAAAGTTACAAAATCCAGTCTTACAAAAGAAAAATATTTTTTACGAAACATTTAAAGAAACAACCTAGGACAAAATCAACTTTGGCGTTGCGCCTATGCAACCAATGTTGAGATACAAAAATATTATTGTTTAAGCATGTCTGGTTTATTAACAATAAAATACAACATCAGTCGTAGGTTTTTTGATACCTTATTTTTTCGATTTATTAATCCCTAAAAAAATTGAAATGACCTCTGTGCGATGCGACGGAGTGAAATTACCCCTTAAGATTAAATAAAGAAGGTAATATAGAATTGCAATATAAAGTAATAACTCACATCAAAATGATCTTCGCAGCAATATTTTGATGACCTACTTGCATACGGTTGTCTTGCTGCTTCGAACCAAATTCTTCTAAGGTTTGGCCTTAAGGGAACAGTGATAAAAATCTTATCCGGAGTGGCATCCGAGTTACTAAAGCAATCCTTCACAAAACAAACTTTTACTCTCTTTGGTGCACTCATTTTTAAAAACACACAAGTTCACGTCTCCTTTTTGCTGCCGGAACTAATCTGAACGAAACGTAATCGTATAACCCATATACAGGGTGTTTCATAAAACACATGCCATCTCTCCGTAGGGAGATGTGATTCCTAATAAAATTTTAATAAAAGATAATTCCATAAAAGTTTTTATTTTTTATATCAACATACGTCTGATTCTGATTTGTTTCCTAGCTCAGGAGGTTAAAGTTTTCATTTCTTTTCGATTTATTATAATTTTCTTCCAAATACTTTTAGCAATTAGAACGAAATTTTGAGAGTAAAAGTTACTATAAGTACGACATTTTTATTCTAATGCTAAAAAAGTGTCGACATAATCACCAGGGATGTGCATATCGGTGATCCCTGGAATATTTTTCTAAAGAAACATGTACCTCACTGATTTTTTTATTATTAGCTAAATTGTGTAGACCGTTTAATGCCGAGTAAAGTTGTGTCTCGATATTTTGTCGATTTCGGTCTCCTTGATGAGATAAACGCAATTTTATTAATTTGCCTTAATCCAAATCTAATAGCAACCTTTAAAATTTCTTCATATCATTAACTGGTCAAAGTGTTAAATATGAACTCGTTGATTCCTTGAAAATATAAAAAAGTTCATATAAACATGGGTGCGGATGTTAAAATTTTTAAAAAATCTTATATAATACCATTATTTTTTATAATAAAATTATATAAGGATTCTTGCCACTTAACTGCTAATATAGAAATTTAATTCTACGCTGTGTTTGTCATAATGCGGATCAACCTGCTCTCACTACCGGTTTCGGAGCCCTACTCCATCATCAGGTGAGCTTGGGAGATCCACAAAATGACAACCACAGCGCAGAGATAGTTAATTCCGACTTGTCGGAAAGTATCGGTTAGATATTAAGTCCCGAACGGGAGATAGCGGCCTGCGTGCAATGGTAGTACTTTCGTACCACCGAGGCGCAACTATCGATAGTAAAAGGATGGTAAAAGGCTTTTTTTCAGGCAAGCCAAAAAAAAAATGTCCACCCCAATTTTTCTCGTTTAAAATTAAAATTTGGAAAAACGCCCGGACACGTCGATTTAGTTCTCGAGGGGGAAAATAAAATATCATAAAATCACACCTATAACCCCCAAGACGGGGGCGGCGCCACCCTTAAATTCTTAAATGGAAAGGGGGGCCGAGTGATACCTCATGTGAAAGGTATTTCAATTCCCTTTTTAATGATATAAGATATCATGTACCTTCGTTCAGTAGTTTTAGAGATTTATTGATTTAAAGTAGATTTTAATTTATCAGCTAAGTGGTGAAAAAATCGGTTTTTATTTATTTTTTTCTCTCTGTATGTATTTTTTTTTGGCAAACTATGTATACTAAAAATTAAGCTTATAAATAAAAAAGCTTAAATTTTTTTTTAATTTTTTAAAATTTCTAAAATTTTCCTGGCCAAAATTGAGCATTTTTCACTTATTCCGAATTGAAAGATTTTTGAGCGTGGATCGATGCAGATTAATTAGTTAAAAATTTTAGTATACATAGTTTGCCAAAAAAATACATACAGAGAGAGAAAAAAAATAAAAACCGATTTTTTCACAACTTAGCTGATAAATTAAAATCTACTTTAAATCAATAAATCTCTAAAACTACTGAACGAAAGTACATGATATCTATATCATTAAAAAGGGAATTGAAAGACCTTTCACATGAGGTATCACTCGGCCCCCCTTTCCATTTAAAAATTTAGGGGTGGCGCCGCCCCCGCCTTGGGGGTTATAGGTGTGAAAGTGATTTTATGATATTTTCTTTTCCCCCTCGAAAACTAAATCGACGTGTCTGAGCGTTTTTGCAAATTTTAATTTTAAACGAGAAAAATTGGGGTGGAAAGTGTCCATTGACCCACCCTGTATATCACTGAACATTAGTGTTTCACATTTTAATATGATTTAATAATAAATTAGATTAAATAAATAAATTATTAATTTTAGTTTTATTTTAATTTTGTTAATAATTGTGATTAATAAAATTGCGTTTATCTTATCAAGGCAATCGAAACCGACAAAACGTCAAGATACAATTTTTAATCGGCATTAAACGTCCTACACAATTTTACTAACAAGGGAGAAAAAATAAATAAAAAGCCAGTGGCACACAGGGTAGGATAACGACGCGTAGAAAATAAATTTTCTACGTGTATGTAGAAAAGTGCGTAGAAAATGTAGAATATTAAGTAGAAAATGTATAAAATCTGAGAACAGGTACAAAATTAATGTTGCATATTTAAAGCCGTTTTTTAGTTTAGAAGTTTCTACTTTTGTATTTTTTAATACAAGGAAGATTTCGACAGACGACGTCCAAAAAATGACAGAAAATAGGATATGTCTATGAATTATGTCACAAATCCCCCCGAAGTTAATAGTTAAGCATTTTTTGACATACTATAAACTATCCATTTGTTAAATAATAAATAACGATTAGATATATCGTTATTAGCTTATTTCTTGTACTAATCGTTGCGATTAAAGAATATGAAATAAATACCAACTCAAAAAAGGCTTACAATATACAATATTAATTTTCTACGTCTGGACATGTAAATATTTAGTGTAGAATATTAATTTTCTACGTGTAGAAAATACGACAGAATATATAAAATTTTCTACCTACCCAACCTTGGTGCCGCACATTAATGTTTTTTTTTTGAAAAATATTCCAGTGGTAACCCATATGCACGTCCCTGGTAAATCCTTCCACATTTTTTGGCATTAAAATATGTAGCACTGATAGTAACTTTTACTCTCAAAATTTCATTCGAATTGAAAAAAATTAAAACACTGAACATTGGATAGGTACTAACATTGGATAGGTATATCCAATGTTGAACTTCTTACTGATTTTTGTCTTACATCCAGGTAGAAGTGAAATTGCACATGTTTTTACGAGAAAAATGGGAAAACACCACTTTACTGAAGCAAACTGTATTTAAATATTGCTTCATGTATTTAAATATGCGAATACACAGTCCGCCGGAAACGATGCGTGTATGGTAAAAATGTGCACAGACCTTTAACTAAGAACACTGAGCAATTTGATTATAAAATGGTAAAAATACAGCAAAGATAAACAACACAATATAATCGAAGATAAAATAGGCATAAATTATATCTGTAAAAACAAGTACAGCTGTATAACCTAACCTAACTTATGTAACGCTACAAACTGTGGCAGTGCTTAGTGCCCCGCTATGTAAATAATAACTTCTCACATATTACGATTTCAATTTATATGTATGTGTATCTGACAAGTGAAAATAGCTTAGATCTTATAAACTTCGCAGAATAAAGTTTATATCGCAGTCAAATTAATGTCACAATAAAACCCAATATTTTACTAATAACTAAAAATAAAAGAAATAAAAAATAAATGTAAACATACGACGTAAAATTACGGTGATGCAAAATTAGGTACGCTTTTAGTGATGCCCTCTGTTGCTTTCAAAGAGGTTAAAAGAGAAAGAGGTAACAAATGCTCTATTTTATAATGCGCGAAGGCTGCCTGTTTTTCCGATCTGGGTTCCTTTGGTGGGGGTCACGCCAGGAGCGGATTTAGAAATTTTTAAGTGAATAATGATATACATCTAATATATAAAATTCTCGTGTCACAGTTTTTATTACCTTAATCCTTCAAAACGGCTTGACCGATTTTGATGAAATTTTATATGTATAATCAGTGGATATGAGACTAGGTTGTTATCGATTTTTTATACCCCTAAGTGATAAGGGTGACCCAAGAAAAAAAAAAATAAGACGTAATAAAAAACGTAAGGGAAAAAGCTTTTAAATTATTTCCATATTTGTGCTTCTTAGTTATTTGCCTCTGTAAAAATTCTTCGTTAGGACCTATTTGTGCTAAAGTTTCCAAAGTTTCGGGAGTTACCTTACCACATAATGATTTGATGACATCAGAAAGAGTGGCTGACTTCTTTTTGTAATGCTGGAGACTGGCTCTAAGACGTTTAATTTTTCTTCGAGCTGTGACTAGCTTCTTTGTCAATTTCATTTCTCGTGGCGTAGTATCCTGAAAAAGTATATTGATGTTTAGTAAACAATATTACTAGCAAAGCGTAAGAAAATAATATTTATGAACTAATAATTATTGCCGTAGTTTAAAACATGGTAAGCATTATGTCAAATATTCATATGGATTGCCTTTATGCAACCGACAAAATATAAAATAAATTCTGTTAATATGTTAAATCAACAAAAAATGCTTACAGACATTCAGGTAGGGATGTAAAAATGGTAATTTATTTTTGTGACATGACATTGTCATTTATGTGTCATTTACGGTCATTTATGGTCATTTACCTTAAATGTAAAAAAATCGCTAGGGAAGTAAAGATAAAGATATATTAACAAATACAAACAAACTTAAACAAAAATCAGTCTTAGTGGTTCTACGTTCACTAAATAAGCTTAAAGGCATAGCTTAGGTATACTTTTAAAATAAAATAATAATATTTAAAAAAAAAAATGAAACAAAACACAGCTATATCACACTGAGTAACTAAGGTCCATTTGTTTTCAAAGAAAAAATGGAATAAAGAGATATATATCATAAATTTAAGTCATAAATTTAGGTGAACAAAAAATAAATGACAAGAGTGTCATAAAAATAAATGACAAGAGTGTCATAAAAATAAATGACAAGAGTGTCATAAAAATAAATGACGTGACCGTCATTTTCATTATGACCGTTACATGACAATGTCAGAAAAATTTGGGGGTTTTCAAAGAAAAAATGAAATAAAGAGATATATATCATAAATTTACGTCATAAATTTAGGTGAACAAAGAAATAAATGACAAGAGTGTCATAAAAATAAATGACGTGACCGTCATTTTCATTTTGACCGTAACATGACAATGTCAGAAAAAATTTGGGGGTATTTAGTTTTTATAATTTGCTCACATCCCTACATACAGGCAAAGTTTTTCTTATAGCAATTGTACTTGTTATTAAAATATACAGTTAAAACTTTTTTAGTGTAATACACTCGTATGTGTCAAAAACAGTTCTTTATCAACAATGTTTTCTTATTTAGTTCATCCAGGTATTCTGCATATTAGAAGCAAAGCTTTTTATTACATATCTTTATTTATACTTGAATAGCATATGTGCTAAAGTATATTTTAATTCTCTGTAAACTTACACTGACATTTTTTCTAAAACATCATATGCCTAAAATAATCAGCTTCTGAGATATAATTATACAATACAATTGAAAAAATGGTGTCAAAGTTAGCTTGGATATGAAGACCACTGTTATTTTATATAAAAAATTATACGAAGAATGTCATCGATCATCATTTCCAAGTTCACTTTCGCCATTTCCTTTTCTTGATTATACAGTAGTACTGTATTACAGTTGAGGGTTTGGTTGATTATTTTGCAGTACTGTATGTTCAAAGCGGTTTTCGATCCAGCATACTTTGATATTGATAGTTCAAAATGGTTTTCATGATATAGACCAATTCCCAATATATTCCCCTTAAGATCTCTAATTCAAATTACATTTGTAACCAGACTTACCGCAATATCCTTGGCAATGGATGAAAGTGGTGAAGTCATATTTTCTAAAGGTTCAGTGCTACTCGATGGTCTATATGGTAGTTCTAGATTGTCCTTAAAAACACCTGTGCTAGTAGACGGTAGAGAACTACAATCCATTACAGAGACACTCTGTATTGTATTTGCATGTTCAGAACAAAAGGAATCAGTGGTCTTTCTAGATAGGTCACATTCACTTGCAGCACGACATGAAGTGTTACTTGTAATCTATAAAAAAGTAATAAATATTCTTAAAATGTATAAAAATTGATCAAAAATAAAATGTAGTGGTCACGTAACCACTACTTTCAAAAAATTTTCATTTCGCTTTATTTAAATCTTAAAATATAATATAGTAAAATATAATAATAAAGTATTGTGACAAAGGCTAAATTATAAAAATATATATTTTATAATGAACTAGCAGTTTTTTTTAAATTCCCTGTTTATTAATATTTCATATTACTTTGAAACATAAAATATTCTAAATTAGCACTTACCAATATAGGTATAGCAGTTTTCTTTAAATGTAATGAAAAGGGTGATTTTTCATTATCAAATGAATCTTCTTTAAAATGCAAATGACACACGTGAGAATATTTAAAAATATCATCTTTGTTTAAATCCAAAGCTGCTCTCCAAGACTCCCACATCTCATTATTTTTAGAAATCTAAAATAAATCAGGTATAGGTTAGATATGCAGTAAAAGCTAAAGTAAAAGGCTAGATAAGATAGTAAGTAAAATCTAGATTAGATATACAGACATTAATAACTAAAATAATTTCTAATTTATTATACTGTTTCGTGTCAATAACATCTGAAATAAAAGTGAGAATGAACTCCATATATTTATAAGGAAATTATTCTCTTAATCTAGAAAACTGTAACTGATTTTCCTGCAATTATCAATTTGGATTCCATTAATTTAATAAAAAATTGAAAACGTACTAAATGCTGTCCTGTACAAAGTTAAAACAGAAAACAACATGGCTACTTTAAATTATCAAATTTCATATTACTTACCGAAATAAATGCACATCAGTCTTATCCCGATAGTAATTGGCACTTTTATTATAAATACAGTTTTTTACAACACACCTAGGCATTTTTAAACAATAGTAAGTCCAAATTAAACACAAACAAAGCCACTAGAACGACTGTAAACACACAGCTGACACAACGAAAATGGCAGAAAATAGAGTCGGTTGACAGCTCATCGGCCCCAGTCGGCGCGTTATTCAAATAAATGTTATTCATTGGTCCGAGCGCTTGGAATCCTGGAGTGGGAAACTGGCAGGATGCGCAGTGGTCTTTGCTACATCTTTATGGTTGCTTTATTTGTCAAATGCGGGTAAATGAAGTCATACATTTTAGGCGGTTGTTTAAAAGGGTTTATTTAGGTTTATTCCCTAATTGAGCCCTCTATATTTTAATTTTCTTATCTTAATTTATTATCTTTCAGAAACTTTATTTTTTATTTGAAACAATTGATATGTTCGTTATTTCATTTCTATCCAAAAAGCTGGCAACACTATAATACAAGGGAGAATAAATTGACTCTCATTTTAACAAGAGATAGGTACTTACTATATGTCCTATTTCTATTTCGTCTTCTACGATAAAGCCAATATAACATAAGCAACATATCATCATCGTCATACATCAGACCGAGCATCAGGCAAACCAAACGGAAATGTTTTAATTCAATTTTCCTGTCGTAAACAATCGTGCAAACAAGATTTTAACACTCACTATTCACTATACTGACAATAAATTTAGAAATTACACAGCCAAAACTTAGGAAAATGTCTTTTAACTGTACACGACGTACCGACTTAACAAACCTACCCGTCAAAAATAAAATAATCGAACATCGAGCCGACGCACACGGTGAGGCGCGGACAGGCGAGGCGGCAGTGGCGGCACGTGTATAAATAAAAGGTTGCCGCGTCTTACAATTTCTACCTAAATTTAGGGCAATATTATATACCTAAATATAACACAAAAAACTCTATGCAAAATATTATTTATATTACCTGTCCAACGACACAAGGAAGATTTCGACAGGCGACATTCAAAAAATTACAGAAAATACTAGCTTTTTTCGTTTTCCTGTTATTACCGATTCTGAATCGTCCTAGAACTGTGATGCGTATGCGCAGAAGGAAATATGAAGACATTAGTTGATTTGCGCATGCGCTGCAAAGTTCTAGGTTCGGAATCGGTAATTATTTTAAGTCTATGGTAATAACAGGAAAACGAAAAAAGCTAATATTTGCTTGTGAATAAAATGACAATCACAATAATTGTCACTGTCAGAGATCGTGCCGCGGGACAGACCATTTTTTTATATGTAATATTAAGTAAAAGTTGTTACAATTTGAAAACGATCTTATACAGTACAGCAGTACAGGGTGTCCCATTTTCGTGTTTTACAGGGTTTCTTGTTTATGAGTAGAGGCAAAGAATATACCTAGCTAGAAAAAGAATGGACTCCATAAAAAATGCCATACTGAAAAATGGTCCTACAGAAGTGGCGCCATCTATTGAGTAGGGCTTGTTTTAAATGGATCGAAGCGGGGGCTTTTTAAATGAGCGTATTTATTGAATTTTGCTCTAAAATAATTAAATTTGATTATTAAATCTTAGTAGATCTGTAATATTAATTTATACTGGAGACTAACCATTAAACGAAGACTCAATACAATAAAATGGTGTTGGTTTTGCAGTGGGCACTAATCCTAACCTTTCAAATGGATTGTTGTATTCCATTTTGTCAAAATGATCGCTGCACACTCTGTAGTTATGAACATAGATAAAGAAAATAATCTTCTATTAAGATAGATATGAAACTTAATAGTAAAATTTTGGGTCAAAGCGCCCCTCCGTGTTCTTAGTAGAGACTACGTTTAACCCAGCGCCTTCGCCTTTTCTGCTGTAAATATTTTTTATGTTTATATTTGATTTCAAAGGATTTAGTTTTAAAGTTACACTGATATATTAGTATATCAGAGTAACTTTAATAAAACATAAGAATATATATATTTTACAGTTTATTAAATATAAATTTTGACTACAAGGCAGAAAGTAAATCACAATATTTGATAAAACTTATAAGTATACCATTTTTACAGTTAATAAATAATAAAACTATTTCTGACTATGATATCTAAAATTTAGATAGATAGAATATTAAAAAACATACCGGTATTTGCAGACGCAGGCCCAAATTCAATAAAAACCAACATTTTTCCTGCGAAAATCGGGCTTTTTTCACAGAAAAGGTATTTTTTGATTTATCAACAATCATTGTCAAGTTGACAATATACAGGGTGTTTTCTAATTAGTCTAAAAAATTGTGGTGTGATTCCTCATGTGTTCTTAAAACAATTTTTATATATAACCATTGGGTCTAAAGTACCTCCTTTCTGATCTACAGAGTGTTAAAAATTAAAAAAAAATCGATATTTTGCTTAAAATAAATGGTACACTACTGCTTTTTTAAAGAAAATATATTTTTTTCTTGACTGGCCATCCTTTTTCAACAAAATTAATCTTTTGAGTGTTTCTTGTTCATCAAACGGTTGCCGAGAAAAAAATAAATATACTTATTAAGAACCCGCCTTAAGCCGTTTTCTAACGATTTTTTATTTTTTAGATTAATTAGGAAACACCCTGTATATGCATATCACAGGCAACCAAATAAACTAGTAACCTCTAAAAATTATTTTTCCTACCACTAGCGACATACCGTGTTTTTAGTGAGTACTAAATTATTTTATCAAAATTTCACCATATAAGTTTCCAGGCAATGGTTATGAATGGTGCTAATTGTCATAAAATCTAGTTTTAATAATAAGTCCTGACGTCCACATAGTTCAATCCATCTCTGAGCCCTATACATATACAAAAAATATTATTGCAATTTTTAAAATATGTCACGTTTATTAAAAATAAATAAAATTCTATCAAAGTATATAAAATTTGGAATATTGCATTAGGTACTCGTACATGTTAATGATTAAATACAGTTCATACCAAATAAACTTTTAGTCGCGTGATTAACCTTCGCCGGCACAGCGTTGCCGACTTTTATACATTTTCTTTTAATCAAAAATCAAAATATATTTAGGAAACAAAAAGAAATTAATTATAAATATATAAACAGTTATTATTTACATCAACAACACTAATTTTCTTAACAGCATTTAAGGGGCATAAATGGCTATGACTACCGCTTTCCCGTTCAAAATATTCTAATAAAGTTGCGATAAGTTTTTACGACATTAAGCTATCCTATACACTTCGCACTAAAAGAGGTTCTAAGAAGAACAATGTTCGACTGCAAGGTCTGCTAGTAAACATTTTTAAGCTTAAAGTATAAAAGCACTATTTATTTAAACTAAAAACTGTAATACAAAACTAAAGTGTCAAAACGAATGAGCAAACGATTGTCAGCAAATAAATAAATTCGGCAACTTGACATTTTTTACAGTAGAGCTACCACCTGAATGCCCAGCGCGAAATTTAAATTCCAATTAGTCGCCGAATATGTCCATTGTTGGCAACCAAGGATTTAAAAATCGCCCCCTCGATTACGTAACTAAAAGTTTAATTGATATATTGATTACCTTATGAAGAATACAGCAACTGTAATTACTCTTTTTAAAATAAAATGTATTCTTTAATTCAGAATTATTTTATTATGCTTATAGTAAAGTTCAAAAAGATAGGACAGTTAGACAAGAGAGAGACAACTGCATAAGGGCATTTTGTCACCACAAAATCTTTGAATAAAAAGGCTAAGAAAGGAGTCTAATATTATTTATACAGGGTGTCCCAATATTCCATGAACATAAAACTACTATTGTATTTTTGGAATCAAAATAAGTTTATTGGACACAATTTACCTCTTTAGAAAAGTGCTTCGTTTTTCTGTTAGAAGGCATCTACCTTTTAAAAAAATAAGCACATTTTTTATGATATTTTAAGACCCGATTTGAATGAGATTTGGGGTCCCTATGTTTAGCTAAGTTCTTAAACATTGGAATTTCACAAAAATAAGAGAAAAAGTACGAGAAGGGTGAAAACTACCCTCACCCCTACATAAAATTTAGTAGAAATATTTTCCAACTGCACCAACGAACGATTTTTTTCGTAAAATGATCTTTCTAGTATTTACTACATTTTTTGTCTCTCGTAAAAAAATGCCACTAAATTAATTCTAACATTCTAATTTTTTTTTATTGATGCCCTCTAACGGACAAACGAAGCACATTTGTGTAGAGGTAAATTGTGTGAAATTAACTTTTTTTTATTCAAATTTTAACTTTTTTTGATTAAAATTAATTAAAATCAAAATCAAATCAAATTAATTAATAATCAAATTAACTTTTTTTGATTCAAAAATTTTTTTATTATGTTACCAAGCAAAATCATAAGTTACATAAGTATTCATTATCGTAGTATTAAAGATATATCCACTGAAAGTATTATTTTATTATAAAAAACTTATCTAAAATCTAAATAACTTCATTATTATTAATTGAGATTCAGTTAGATTTAAGGAAAAATATGTATACCTATCTACTGAAACCGCTCGGCTGGGAATAAGAACTGGTAACATTTTGCACAGCCAGATTAAAAGGACCGAGGTCGACAACTACTGTATACGTGCTGTATACTATGCCTACCTATATTCCTGTATTGTAACAGAATTTTAAACTATGTCTTTGTTTTCGAAAAAAAAAATAATCCAAACATTAGCAATATTTTGTTGATTGATGCCTGACCATCAAAATCCTAAAAATAAACAAGTTATCTAAAAATGTGCTACAATACGGATATAGTAGGTATAATTCTTTATCCTTAATTTCCTTCTTCATTTGTGTTTATGTTTTAAGATATATATGTTTCTTTTATGCGGCTTCCTGTGTTTTTTAAGAAAACCTTTAATTTGTGAAAAGCATATTCAAGTACATGTTTTATTTATATTTATTTTAAATGAACTTTATGAAACATTCATTAACAATGGAGAATTAAGATTTGAGGTTTATAATTATTTATGCTGGGCCATTTAGAAAAGTTAATTTTGTAAACAGAAATAAATAAATATATAAATTATTATGTTTTCAAGTATAAAAATCTGTTTTTATTGTCATGAATTCAAATATAATATATTTTTTCTAAAATATCAGCGTCTCTCTGTCTCATATAGCCGTTCCACTGTGCGATGGTACGTAGACGTTTATGGAGAACCGGTGATAGATTTTTTTTGAAAATTTGGATTTTTACATAAATACACCTGCTCCATCTATCTAAAATATTTTCAACGTTACAATGTTGCCGCGTCATTTGAAAAGTGGTAGCTTCTTTCTTATTTTAGATGGAATACCCGGTATATTATTACATTCTCATTATATCTATATCATCTAATAATTTTTTAGATAAAACATAAAACATGTGTAAAATTGACAAAAGCATGATCGTGAATAAGCATTGGTAAAATCATGAATTGAACATTTTTAAAATTGAAATTTGGGTTATAAGTTAATGAAAGTCGATATATTCGATCTATTGAGAGCAAAAACATTATTTATTTTCGTTTGTTAAAAAATTGCTAAATTTTTTGATATTTTAAATTCAACACTATGTATATTATTTAAAAAATCAACAGACTAATAAAATTGCTTTTCAACGATATATCATGGTCCTATACCTACCTAAACCTTGAGTAGCTATTTAAAAATTAATACTTCTATTATTACAGTTTCATTTCAAGAATTTCTTTACAATCACAATTTTAGAAATTTAGCAATAAAGTAAAGTTTAATTGATACTTACAAAATTAGAATATTTGTCATGGCAACGATTTTATTTAAACGGCACTATTATTATAATAGTATTATCTTTTAAATGAGTTTACTGAAGAAACCAGAAGGTGAGATATGTTCATCTCACCTTCTTTTTTATTTTTTTTTTCCTTTTTTTTGTTTCGATTTAAAATTACTGATTTATATCAATATTTTATCACCTTAAAAAAA